TACGGATGAAGAACTGAATTTCTTATTTCATTTAATTTTAACTAATTTAAATTTAAATAGCCTCATGTGGCTAGTGGCTACTATATGGGACTCTGGGGATCTACAGCAATCTGGAGGAGGAATGGTAAAAGTAATGACTACTGTTTATTGAGTATTTACCTAACACCAGATTCTGTACTTAGTGTGTTCTGTACATTGTTTCATTTCATCCTTGTAACAGCCTTTAAGGTTTAGAGAGAAATTAAGTAACTTGCTGAAAGTCATACTGAATCAAAAACAAGCAGAATAAAAATAGAAACCCAGGTCTAATTCTTAACAGCCGACCTCCTACCATCATAGGTTCCTGAATTCCATTCCAGCAAGGCACAATCGAATACACATCAGTTCCAAAGTAATACTTGCCCCTTTCCCCTTCACATCTTCAAAACCTTTTCCTTTTTCAGTGCCACTAATTTTTAATTTCAAGAAGCTGCAGACTTCTCAGGTATATTATTTCTTCTTATGAAATAATAAGGGAGGGTGTTAGCTCTACTCTATAGGTTAAAATGCCCAGCCAGATTATGCACGACTTGTTAAAATTGTTCTTGAAATGTGGCTGTTCTACTTAACTCTTGGTGCTTTAGTCATACTATGGTTAAGTCATTTCCTTAAAAATCAGTGTAATTGGGCCAGGCACGGTGGCTCACGCCTGTAATCCCAACACTTTGGGGAGGTCGGCAGATCACAAGGTCAGGAGTTCAAGACCAGCCTGGCCAACATGGTGAAATGCTGTCTCTACTAAAAATACAAAATTAGCTGGGCATGGTGGCATGTGCCTGTAATCCCAGCTACTTGGGAGGCTGAGACAGGAGAATTGCTTGAACCATTACCCGGGAGGCAGAGGTTGCAGTGAACCAAGATCACTCCACTGCACTCCAGCCTGGGCTACAAAGTGAGACTGTCTCAAATTAAAAAAAAAAAAAAAAAAAATCAATGTAATTGGTAGCAAGTTTAAGTTTGGTTAAGTTAGGCTTTTTAAGTCTACAAGTATTATGGCTTTGGAAATATTTATAACATGTTTACTTTTTTTTTAAATTACTTTTTAGTGCTCGCCAGAAACCCAGAGCTAATTATTTAGAAGACCGAAAAAATGGGTCAAAGCTGATTGTTTTTGTAATTGGAGGGATTACATACTCTGAAATGCGTTGTGCTTATGAAGTTTCTCAGGCACATAAATCCTGTGAAGTTATTATTGGTAAGACTTTTGTTTTCTTCTTTTCTGTTTTTAAACACAAACTCTAAATGCAAAAGTATACATGTAAAATGTTATCTCGTGTTATACATTTGAGACAAAATTTAATGCAAAAAAATTGTTAACCATAGAATGTGTTTTATCTGATGTGTGCTGGGTTTTTTTTCCTGGTTGACTTTTTGATAGTTTTATTTTCAAACATGCTTATTTGAGGAAAAGGCGCTTGCTCCTTTAAAATAGTATGTTCTATACATTTGTTTAACTATTAAATAGTTTTTGATGTACAAATACATTTCTACTTAAAAAATGTTTTGAATTTTTTGTAGCTATGGACATGACATTGGCAAGGCCTGTGTGGAATTAAGTTTTAAGAATTTCAGGCCAGGCTAGTGGCTCAGGCCTGTAATTCCAGCACTTTGGGAAGCCGAGGCAGAAGGGTCACTTGAGGCCAGGAGTTTGAAATCAGCCTGGGCAATAAAGCAAAACTCCGTCTCTACAAAAAATTTAAAAATAAGAATTTCAGTCAAAGCCAATGATAGGTAAACTCTCCTGACCCATGGAGGTGCTGGATCTGTGTGTTAAGCCTTGACCTGCAGCACTGCTTAGTGGGTCTCTATTATCGAACAATAACTGTTGTAGTGCTAAGGATAGGGTAATCCCCAGTTTTGCTCTTCAGTGTGCCAGTGTCTAGCACAAAGTAGACAAAGCACTAGGAATGGCCACTGTTTCTGCACAGTTACTGAGCATGCTCAATGGTGAAGAAGGATTGAAATAGTGCAGTGTAGGCAGATTTCAGGAAGATGTCTTAGAGAAATTTTGTTACATTGCGCCAGGCTACTGCACTTTACATACTTGAAGGACAACACATATTAAGCGAAGGAAAACTGATTTAACTGCTGGCCTCTGAAAAATTCTCTTTTCTCCTACCAGGTTCTACACATATTTTAACACCCAAAAAGCTGTTGGATGATATAAAGATGCTGAATAAACCCAAGGATAAACTCTCCTTTATTAAGGATGAATAGCTTTTCTTTTTGGAGGGTTTAGAGATTCTTACTAATATGTTGAACTAAAATAGAAAGAAAATGTTGCTGTTATGTAATTTAAACAATGTAAATATTTTATGGAATAATGGCTTTTCAGATATATTTCTTAAGGAACTGTTTATGATTATGTATTACTGGATTTGTCATTTTTGATAATTTAAATATTGCTGCTGCTTTGTAGATGATGAGAAGAAATGTTAAAATGCTTTCTAAAAGGAAATTTTTTCACCTTTGGAGCAGAATATATTAGAGTTGTGGGTAATTTCTCACAACCATCTATGTACATACTAATTACCCATTGGATACTTACATCTAAACATCTCATGCTAAAGTATAGTTTTTTGGGAAAGAATGATTTTAAATAAAGAGATTGTAAAAGTAAAAACTGTAAATGTGTATGTATGATAGAATTGTTTCCTCTAAGTGTAGTTTTTCTTTCAACTAAAATTCAGTTTGTTTTATGTGCAAAATAATTCAGTCATTAATAGAAATGGAGTGATTTCACAGTGTATACTATTTTGCCACATACTTCTAAAGAACACAATTTTATATAATTTTGAAATCATGTATGTTTAAATTAGAAAACCAAAAATCATGAACATTCTAAGAGAAAATAAATATAGAATTTAAAAAATTATTCTGGTTTGTTTTTTCTGTAGGGGAGAGGGGAAAGTTAGAAATTTTAAAAGTTCTAGAGTAACAAAGAAGCAAAGGAATCTACCGTAATACTCCCACCAAGATATCTCCTAATGACTTTTTCAAAAATAATGTAATCTCTGTGTAGGGTTAGATAATATATGTCTGCAGATGTGTTTTGTTAAACAAAGGGAACATCTTTGTTTCAAATCTATTCTTGACCTCATAGTGTTCTGTCATACAGCAGACCATAGTTGTATTGATTCAGAGTTTTGCTCTTATAAATAATGCTGCATTGTTTGGGTACATACCTTTGCAGACTTACACAGACATTTCCATAATGTAAATTCCTAGCAGTGGTCAAGGGATTTGTGCATTTAAATATTGACAGATACCCATTTTCAATTTTTTTTTTTTTTGAGATGGAGTCTCACTCTGTCACCCAGGCTGGAGTACAGTGGCGCAATCTCGGCGCACTGCAAGCTCCCCCTCCCAGGTTCACACCATTCTTCTGCCTCAGCCTCCCGAATAGCTGGGACTACGGGCGCCTGCCACCATGCCCGGCTAATGTTTTGTTTTTTTTTTTTGTTTTTTTTTTTTTGCTTTTTGTTAGTGTATTTTTAGTAGAGACAGGGTTTCACTATGTTAGCCAGGATGGTCTCGATCTCCTGACCTTGTGATCCACCCGCCTCGGCCTCCCAAAGTGCTGGGATTACAGGCCTGAGCCACCACGCTTGGCCCATTTTTAATTTTTACGTAGATAAATCCATCACTTTTCCATTTTAACTTCTGAATTTCACATGCTGCTTAGAAATACCTTCCACACTCCAGGATTATAAATTCACGCATGGTTTCTTCTAGAACATTTTGATAGATTCATTCTATTTTTTACAGGTAACTCACCCATCTGGAATAGATTTTAGTGTAAGAACGTGTGCTAGATATTGTCTCTTAGCACTTGGCATGGCGTCCCATGCCTCCTTACCCCATACCACAAGGGACGAAAGGCTAAACATGAAGTTTTTCAGACTCTAAGAAAAATAAGGTCTGAACAGTTTACATTCTACCAATGATGTGCACTTGGTCAAGATTTGGAGGCAGAGGCCATCTACTATGCCAGCAGACAAGCTCCTGCAGAAAAGAATTGTTTGTAGCAACCAGACTCCACATTTTAGTGTCTTGTCACCTGCTTCATGGGTATGAGTTAATGCTGTGGCAGCAGCACTAGCTTCCTGTCCTTTGGGTCACAGATGGTAAAATGATCGTGGGCCTCCAGTTTCTGCTCCTACTGCTTTTTCAATGATTTTTGTAAGGACCTAATTCTCTGTATTAAATGCCTTTCTGCTTGAAATATCTAGAGAAGTTTGTTTCCAGCACGGAACCCTGACTTGATAAAAGTATTCCATAGTGGCCCAGCTTCACTCCTTTCTAAACAGCCAGATGTTATACCAGATCCTATTGGGTAATCTCTCTTTCCCCAACTAAACTGAAATACCACGATTATCATAGACTAAATTTCCATTTGTATTGTGGTCTATTTCTGGATTCTCTTTTAATGATGTACAGTTTGTTTTGTGTTTCTTTTTCCCTGTTTCAATTCATGGTATGTTTTAATATGTAGTGGAAGAAGTTCCTATTCCATCCACCTAAATTACTATTATTTTTCAGAAATTTTCTATCAAATTTTTCTAGGTGAACTTTAGTATCATTTTGTTGAGTTCCCAAAAAAGCTATTTTGGTATTTTCATAGGATTTGCATTGTTTTATAGGTTAATTTAGGAAAAATTGACATCTTTTATAATATGGAAACTTGATATTCAGGAATGTGGAATGTCTTTTCATTTAAATCTTTATAACCTTCAGAATCTTCATTTTCTTCATACAGTTACTGCACATTGTCAAAATATCTTATTTTTGTAGTTCCATTGTGGGTTGAATCTTTGATTATTTTTCAAATGGGTAGGGATACAGAAAATTTACTTTTGATTTTTTTTTTTTTTTAAATAGAGACAGGGTCTTGCTATGTCACCCAGGCTGGAGTACAGTTATGTGATCATAGCTCACTGGAATTTTGAACTCCTGGGCCGTAGTGATCTTCCTGCCTCAGCCTCCCGAGTAGCCAGGACTACAGGTATGGGCCACCACATCTGGCTAATTTTGTTTGTTTTTTTTTTGTATAGACAGTCTCACTGTGTTGCCCTGGCTGGTCTCAAACTCCTGGCCTTAAGCAATCCTCCTGTCTCAGCCTCCCAAAGTGTGGGGATTACAGGTGTGAGCCACTGTGCCTGGCCAACTTTTGATATGTTAATCGCATAACTTTACTAAGTACTGATAATAAAGTAATAATATACAAATGCTTAGTGCTTTCTATTATTAACTCAGTCCATCTTCTCATGTATTCCTGTGAGCATAGGTACTGTGATTATCATCTTTATTTTAAAACTGAGGAAACTGAGACCCAAGAGATAAATGTAACTTGGTGTGGATCAGTGCATGGAAAGGAAGGGCTTGGCGCAATAAACAGCCCTCTTTGCAAACTACGCATGAAAACAATGTATCTCCAGTAAGAGGACTAGTTTTTGGTGTCTGCATTTTATCTGAGATCTTTGTATGCCTCAGTAACTCCCTCTCCAGGGTTAGGACATGTGTAGAATAGGTATTTAGATTAATCCAATGGCCTGGAACAAATGGAACTAAGAGTGTGATGACAGCAAACACTGGGCTGTTTATTCATTTGATCACTTAACATCTCAGTGACCACTTTATCCTGATCACACTGATATCAGATGCTTTGGGTCCTATATTTCACATATATGTTAAGCTTTGAATTGCAGAGACCTTTTGTTTACTAAACCTCGTATGAATTTGAAGCCATAAGACGTCATCTCACATAAATTCTGGTATGAGCTGATTTTTTCCCCCATAGAATTAGCAATTACAGGCCAAAGCAGGAGGATCACTTGAGCCCAGGAGTTGGAATGAGCCTGAGCAACATAGTGAGACCACATCTTTTTTTCTTTTTTTCTCTCTCTGTGAAGAGTCTGAAAGTAGTGAGACCACATCTCTACAAAAAAAGGAAGGAAAAAAAAAAGGTTGGGTATGGTGACACGCACCTGTGATCCCAGCTACTACTCAAGAGGCTGAGGCAGTAGGATTGCTTGAACCAAGGAGGTGCAGGCTGCAGTGAACTGTGATCACACCTCTGCACTTCAGCCTGGGTGAGAATGAGTCCCTGTCTCAAAAAAAAAAAAAAAAATTACAGGTTTTGATTTCAAGACCCAGGAAAAGACTTTTTTTGTTGTTGCAACCAACGGAAACTATTTGTTCACTGTCTCTGAAACACAGCTTTGCTTCCTGTTGAAATGTGCTTTATTTATAAAACAGTGGATTCACATTCTTCAACCATATTAGTAAATAAATACGGAGATCTTTATTAATCCTATTATCCTGTTTCCTAGACCCTTCGCCTCCACTGCTCCAGGGTCACAACAGGAGTTCACAAGGTCTCAAAATTCTTGGATTTGAGCAACAAAGGGCCTGACCCCACAGTTTATTGTGTAAGATATGACACCTCCATAGCTCAGTTCTTCCCTAGCTATTCTGTACCCTTTGTAAGTCCTATTGGGATGCAAGCAGATTTCTCCTAAAATCAAAGGAGCAAGAAATGTCTTCCTCCTATAGGAAAAGTTTTACCACCAAAACAATGTTTTGTCTATTAAATATAAACACATACTCATGTTTAGTACAAATTAGGCCTATTTTATATAATTCATTAACAGCAAGATTACAATAGAAAGGATAAAATGAAGAGATTTCTTTTGCAAACTCTAATAGTTAACTAAAGGGGATAGCTAGAGCTTTCTCTTAAAGATGATAGGCCAGGCGCAGTGGCTCACGCCTATAATCCCAGCACTTTGGGAGACCAAGGCAGGCAGATCACCTGAGGTCAGGGGTTGGAGACCAGCCTGACCAACATGGTGAAACCCGGTCTCTACTAAAAATACAAAAATTAGCCGGGCGTGGTGGTGGGCGCCTGTAATCCCAACTACTCGGGAGGCTGCGGCAGGAGAATCACTTGAACCTGGGAGGTGGAGATTGCAGTGAGCCAAGGTCCGGCAATTGTACTCCAGCCTGGGCGACAGAGCAAGACTGTCTCAAAAAATAAAAATAAAAATAAAAAAATTTTTAAAAGATGATAAAAAGCCCTCTACAGAGAGTCCCATTGCATCCTGCTGGCAGCTTCAAGCAGCCAGAGCACAGCTAGACCTTGGAGTAAATACTAAGAGGCCTCTGCACCCTGGAGACTGCCGGGTGTTTCTTTACAGCACCACCGCCCTCAGGCAATGCTGAGCCCTTGACCCCCAGCATTAGGGGTACCATTACTTTTACTTTACAAGCTTGTTTTTCTGGTTTACTACTGGAACAGAATTAGAAGAGAGGTCATAAGAATTGACACAAGAATTGCATGAGGGAGGAGATGGCCAAGACTACAGAATCAGTAAGTATAAAATTATCCTTGTAAATCAGAGCCTAGTGCCTTTCTAGAACTCCTTAAGGGCATTGCCTGCCCTTTTTTGCTATTTCTTAGATTAGTCGTGTTACAGTGATTACTCATCATGACCCCTGATCTTCAAGGAAATGGAAAATTACATTTAGAATATGGTTTGATAAAGCAGAAATGGGCCACATTTTTAAATCAACAATGATTTTAATTGCCAATTTCTATAAATGTTAATTTGAGGGATTTAGAAATACTCGTTAATGGTAGACGTTTCTAACCAAGGTTCCATGGATTTGTTTCAGGGCGTCCATGAACTTTTAAAAATGTATTCTCTTCCACGAGAAGAAAAAGCATGGGGGAAGGGAGACTCCATAGCTTTCACCAGATTCTCAAAAAATGAGCCCAAAAAAGGTTAAGAACGAATTAATCATATAAGAACACTTCAAGCCAGAGAAGTATGTAATTTTAAACTTGGGGATGAGATAGTGGTACTTGACATACAAAACAGATTAGCAAGTTGTGATTAAATTTAGATATGTAATGATGTTGGAAGCCCCTTGGAACTGCCAAAAAAACAAAATGACCTAATTGGCTTTTATTAGCAATTTATGAATCAGGCAGCATCCCATCTATGAAATAGAAAGGCTGAGCACAGGAGTGGGCTTTATAGGCAGAAAAGGCAGAAGAAAACAGAAACAAGGAACAAAAGGTGTCTTTATATGGGTTAAAGCAGAGGGGACTTCCTTATGCCAGCTCAGGTTGACAGGGCCCCTTCTAATGGGATACTGTGAATGTTCTGGGTTTAAAAAAAAAAAAAAAACTGGCCTATTTTAAAGTTCAGTTTGATTACGTGGCACCTAGCATGAGTGACTGCATTCTAGTTTGGTCTGGTCTGTTGGGGTCTCCTGCAGGAGCTTAGTCCAAAAACAATGACCTCCCACACGTTTTATTTAATAGAACATACACAGTTTAAGCTCTGTTTTTTTCTGTTATAATATCACCCATAGTTCTTTGCTATCTTCCTTACAGTGCCACAGCTTGAAGTAAATTTGGCCATAAAGTCAGAGGTATTTTCAGACTGACCTGTGCTTTATCTCTTCCAGGGTACCCTCAACCAATTTACAAACCCCAAAGTTAAAAATAGTCCATTCTCCAGCCAGCTAGACAAATACCAGCTGCCCACATTGGCATGAAAATCTAAAGTGGGAAAAGATTCAACTCCCTCCTGACCACTGAGCTAAACTCTGGGAGTCGGGAAACCATTTGTTGAATGTCTGGGGTGAATGAATATCAGAAGTTTCAGGAAAGGGCGAAAGAGCCAATACCCTGCTGTGCTGTCACTAAAGAGGTAATACATCACTCTTAAAAAAGCAAAGCAAAAGCTTGCTCTGAAAGAAAAACAAAAAACAAAAAAAAAACCTGCTCTGGTCTACATGAAACATTACAAATTTACTTAATCCCTGGTACACAGTTTTAATGAATTGTCTTTTCCAAAATTTCATTAAGGCTATTATTTTCACATATTTCTGACTTCAAGAGATCTTTAAACAAATAATGTTGACTTATAAGTATATTGTAAAAATTTCATATGATACAGAAAAGAAGATTAAAAACCCCTTTCTCCCCCAAAACTCCCAGTTTCCTTTACTAGAGGTTCACTTAAAGATTTTTAGATATCTTTCCCAAAAATATGTATGCTCTTTTAAAAAAAAAATACACACATGAAGAGCCAGGCACAGTGGTGTGTGCCTGTAGTCCCAGCCACTCAGGAGGCTAAGGCGGGAGGATTGTTTGAAGTTCAAGTCCAGCCTGGGCAACATAGCAAGACCCCTGAGGTTACAACTGTCTGTATATATGCTTAGATATCTTGCTTCTTTCACTGACTTTTGCAGATAATCCAACCTCATTCTTTTCGGTGGCTACAAAGTATTGTCATTTATGAATCATCACAGGCGGTATTTAGATTAGTTCCCCCTTGGGGTTGTTACGATCAATGCTCCAGTGGCCTTCCCTGTACATATATCGTGCCACATTGTGTGGCTTATATATAAAAGAAATTCCTAGTGGTGAAACTGCTGCTCTGAAGGTACGTGATTTGGAATTTGTGGAACTTGGTAGATATTATCAAATGGTCTTCCAAAAAAGTTGCATTTCCGCCAACAGCATGTGAGAGTACCAGTTTCCTCCATCCTCACTGACACAGGGTTCTTTCATCTTTTTTCAGACTAATAGATAAAAGGAAATTCATTGTTTTGTTTTGGTTTCTTTTATTATGAGTTAGGAAGAACATAGATTTATTTTAAAATAAATACTTGTTGGTTGCTTTTGATTTTAAGAATCAAAAGTCCTTTCTTTTTTTCTTTTTCCTTTAGTACTTTGTGTTACCCATTTCTTATGGTTTCTGTGTTTTCTCTAGATAGTCATCTTCCTAAATTGTGTAGTAAGTAAAATACATTTTGGGGGAAGATCAAGTTTTCTTTGCATTTTTTTCTTTTGAATCCTTGGTTGCCTAGCGTTGAACTAGTATTTCAGTCGATTCCTCCACCTCTGTGCTTTAGCAAGGTCTTCTGCAATCGTTTTAATCATTTGATCTGTAGTTTCTTTCAAAATGGTTGCTGTCCTTAGGGCATGATCCAAAGCCGAGTTTAAAATCTACAGAGGAAAAGTCCACACATTTTAATTACATAAACTAACTGCTTTGGGTTCTCTCATTATTAAACATTACAAGGTGGAATTTTCGGAGTATTCCTGTTTTCTACTTGGTCTATTTCTGTTTTTGAGGGTTGGTTTCCTAGGAGACCAGTCTGAGATGGAATATATTTGTTAGGGAAAGGGATTGAAAAAAAGACCAGCACGTGACTGATGAGCATGAATCAGAGGGTGAGGTCAGCCACCAGCTGGGCTGTTTCCCTGCCGCAGAGAAAGAGAAAAAAAGAACAGCTCTTAGGGGCCATTGATGGGGATTTGGGGGCCATAACCACTGAGAGGGTATTCAGGGATACAGCGCATGCGTATGGAAACATTTGAACGTGGCCTGGGGATTTGAGTTAGTGATTTGAAATAGGAAACTGTTGGCAACCCTGATCACAGTGTCACTGGAACAGATCCACTGCCTTCAACCCCCTGCTGGGGAAATCCTGTAGCTGAGGCACCCCCCACAAATCACTTTCTCCAGGAAATTTCCCTTGGAACCAATTTAGAATAATACAGACCATGCGGCTGCTGAGGCTATGCGTCTTTAGCTTAGTGCTGAGCACAAAATTGTCTTTAGCAGAGCTTTTTCTGAAGCCCTGATACTGTAATAACTTAAGAGCTGCCAGTTCTGTGGGCATCAAGATCAAACCTACCAGCTGCAAGGATTCTCGAATGATTTTCTAAGTCCTCACCTCAGATTTTGTTTCTTCAGTGCTATCAAAGTCACATACAGATTTGCTTCCAGAAATCCTGCAGGAGTAGAAATGGGGCGAGGGTGTTACAGGGTCTGAGCTGTAGGTCATGAAAGCCTGAAGGTTTTTTCTGGAAGACAAAAGCGCATTGATACTTGTGTCAAGCGCCACCCTCAAGCACACTCCTGTTCACGTCAGCTCTGTGGTCGGTAATGGCTCTATGTGTGTGGTTTGGGTGTGGGCGGATTCGTGCACCCGCTGCCCTCGTAGCTCTCATACTCCCATGTGGCTGACCGCAGCTGGGCTTCAGAAAAACGTTGTTGCCATGACCATGAGGGTATTTCCTCCCAAAACTGATCTCCTTTTCCTCTAGTACAGATAGAGGCGAGACTCTAAAGACATTTTTTATTCTGTTTTCATTCTTTTGGGGCCAACTTTCTACCTTGCATTTTTATAAAACAAATGCACAAAACTGCCAATTGCAGGTACCTTGGGTTGAGTTCATTCTGGCACCAGTGAGCTTTCACCCCAAGGAGGCAGAAGCAGTCAAAAAATAAAAGCAGCTCCTTTTGAAGTAAACAGGCTCCCCTTGCCTGCTACCCTGTGATTGCTTCTCTCTTAGGGATGGCCGGAAGTCTGCACTAGGTGAGTGAGGGCTGCAGGGCCACTGGGCTCTTCGGGTTGTGCAGAGCATGGCTCTAGGGGGTTATATGCGTAGTCTGTGAAGGGCACAGCCTGGAGTTACGCTTTTCTCAAGCATGAGCCGTTGGCCCTGAGGGATACCACAAGAACTTGCCTATTGACAGGGCTGTCATAGAGCCACCCTCAAATCTTCCTCTGGCTTCAGGTTTCCTGTTAAGCATTACTTTGGTACATAAAATACTTGTGAGCAATATCATCTCCAGAAAACGTCCTTTCATCCCTCTCCCCTACCATATGAGCATCAATTGGTTCTGCAAGTTATTTTAACACATTGGATCGATCCTCCAGGCAAGAGGTGGTCCAGCATCCAGGGCCCCTAACTAATGAAATACTCTGGGCAGGGGATGGCAGACTGGAGAAGAGTCCTCTCTCTCCCCATATCCCATCACTGTCCACTGTCAACAACATAACAGCCATCGCTTGCTGAGTACTTATTATGAGCCGGGTACCATTCTAAGTGCTTTATATGTATGGACTCAGTCCTCAATGAGTTTAGCACTATTATGATTCCCACTTTACATGTGGGGAAATGGAGGCACACTTAGGTCAAGGAACCTGCCCAACGACACAGAACCAAGACAAACCCAAGAAGTCAGTCAGGCACGGTGGCTCACGCCTGTAATCCTAGCACTTTGGGAGGCTGAGGCAGGTGGATCACCTGAGGTCAAGAGTTGGAGACCAGCCTGGCCAACATAGTGAAACCCTGTCTCTACTAAAAATACAAAAAAATTAGCTGGGCATGGTGGCAGGTGCCTATGATCCCAGCTACTCGGGAGGCTGAAACAGGAGATTCACTTGAATCCAATGGGGCAGAGGTTGCAGTGAGCCATGATTGTGCCACTTCACTCCAGCCTGGGCGAAAGAGTGAAACTACATCTCAAAAAAAAAAATAAATAAATAAATAAATAAATAAATAAAACCCAAGAAGTCTCCAAAGGCCACATTCTTAAACACTGTGCTAGACTGTGGTAGAGGGTAGTACGTTCAGACTGAGTGGCTCTGAGAGCAGAGCCTGAATTGTTAGCCACTCTGCAGTGCTATTGGTTTTGTCTCTTACATAGCTCTTGAATGAATACACAGACTCTTCTCTTTCCATCTCCACCAACCTCGGTCAAGCTGCATCATCTCACCTGAATTATTGCACTGGCCTCTTATTTGGCCTTGTCCTCCAATCTTAACTCCTATAATTCATTTCCACTCCCTCAGTAGCTAGGCTGATCCTTTAAAACACTAAAAATCTTTTTAAATTCCGTGGTTAAAAAACTTAATTGGGGGGGTCCTGCCACAGTGACTCATGCCTGTAATCCCAGTGCTTTGGGTGACTGAGGTAGGAGGATTCCTTGAGGCTAGGAGTTCAAGATCAGCCTGGGAAACATAGACCCCGTCTCTACAAAAAAAAAAAAAAGTAGCTGGCTGTGGTATCACATGCCTGTACTCCCAGCTACCCAAGAAGCTGAGCCAGGAGGATCACTTGAGCAAAGGGGGTCAAGGCTGCAGTGAGCCAAGATTGTACTCCAGCCTGGGCAACAGAGCAAGACCCTGCCTCAAAATTTTTTTTTAACTTCACTGGGGGGCTAGACACCTGTAATCCCAGTGCTTTTGGTGACCAAGGTGAGAAGGTCACTTGAGGTCGGGAGTTCAAGACTAGCCTGGGCAACATAGCAAGACTCTGTCTCTACAATTTTTTTTTTTTTAATGGGCACCTATAGTCCTAGCTACTCAGGAGGCTGAGGTGGGAGGATGACTTGAGCCCAGGAGTTCCAGGCTGCAGTGAGCTATGATCACCACTGCACTCCATCCTGGGTGACAGAGGGAGACCCTGTCTCTAAAAATAAAAACGAATTAACAGCCCAAAAAAAAACCCTAATTGGCTTCCTCTTGCTCCTAAGATTCTAAAATACTTCCTGGAGCTGACAAGTCTCTACGGGCTGGCCCTGACAATTCCTTCCCTCATCAGCCTCATCTTGCTCCACTGCCGCTCCCTCTTTTGGGTTCCAGTCACACCATTCCTGAACTTGCCAAGTGCCTTCTCACAACAGGAAGCTTTCCTAGACTGGAATGTTCTTCACTGCCCCCAGATCCCCTTGCTAGTTCGTTCATACATACCCTTCAAAGCTCAGCTTCCCTGAACCCCCAAATTAGATCAATAGGACTTTGTACATCCCCTTCTTGGCACTTACAAAGACTATGCGGCTTCTCTGCCAAAAAAGAAAGCTCTGTGAGGGCAGGGACAGTGGCTGACTTTGTCCTGTGTCCTCAGTACCTCGCACAATGACTTGGTTTATTGAATAAACAAATGAATGATTGAAGTATTAGATAGGTTTAGGTTTGAATCCTGGCTGTACTCCTAATGATCTAGGTTATCTTGGGGTAGGTAGTTAATGCACTATCAAGTACACTGTATACACCCAACCAATGAGAGATGTTTTGTTAGTAATCATGAAATAATACTTACTTTCCTGGTGTGGGCTCATGTTCACCTTTAAAGGATTTTGAATTCACTCTCTGAGAACAGATCCGTTTGAGTTTTAAAAAAGCTGAAAAATGTTAGCTATGATTAAATTCAGAGTATCAAAAATGAGCCCCAAATGGTGCATATGTATCATTCCTTGAACTTTTTGTATGAATGAAATATTTCATAAAATTTTAATAAATCAGAAAACTGGGAAACAGACAACAAAGAACTTTTGCTGGGCGGGGTGGCTCATGCCTGTAATCTCAGTGCTTTGGGAGGCTGAGGTGGGAGGATTATTTGAGGCCAGGATTTTGCTACCAGTCTTCCCTGTCTCTACCAAAAAAAAAAAATTCATAAACCCCTTCCATACTAACTATAAATTTTTTGTTAAGTTAGCTAGGTATGGTGGCATGTGCCTACAGTTTTGTAGCCACTTAAGAGGCTAAGGCAGGAGGCTCGCTACAGCCCAGAAGTTCAAGGAAGCATTGAGCTATGATCACATCACTGCCCTCCAGCCTGGGTGACAGAGCTAGACCCTGCCCTAAAAAATAAAATTAAAAAAAAAAAAAAAAAACTTTCTATAAAGTATTCTGAACTTAGGAAAAGAAATTCAATTTTAAAAGGAGTTTTAGGCCAGGCGCGGTGGCTCATGTTTTTAATCCCAGCACTTTGGGAGGCCGAGGCAGGCAGATCACTTGAGGTCAGGAGTTCAAGACCAGCCTGGTCAACATGGTGAAACCCTGTCTCTACTAAAAATACAAAAATTAACCGGGTATGGTGGTGGGTGCCTGTAATCCCAGCTACTTGGGAGACTGAGGCATGAGAGTCACTTGAACCCGGGAGGTAGAGGTTGCAGTGAGCCAAGATAGTGCCACTGCACTGCAGCCTGGGTGACAGAGCAAGACTCTGTCTCAAAAAAAAAAAAAAAAAAAAAAAAAGAGTTTTATTATCAGATAGAAACCAGGAGTTTAGGTTCTTTGGGTACTTGCTATGTGACCTGTGCATGATGTCTGACTTCTCTGGGTTTAACTACCACATCTGATAAATGGAGGAATAATATCTTCCAAGAGGTTGGACCAAATGGATTTCTGAAATCCTCTTCAATTTTAGGAGTTAATATTCTAGGAGTAGAAACTAATGATTATGTTGCAAAGACAATTCCAGAAAATAGAGACTAAACAGAGAAGGAAAATGTGGAAAAGTCATCATGGAAGACAAGAAGACAGAGAAAGAAAAAGAGATGAGTCAGTGGCCAACAAATCTGCCTCCTCTGCCACCAAGGCTCCCTTCTCCCCTTCCCTTTCCCTCTTCTTCTTCTCTTCTGTCTTCCCCTCGTTCTCCCTCCAGGTCTCCTGTCTTATTCACTGATGTCAAGTAGCCAGGCTTCACTCACCCTCAGGAGGGTCCCGTTGGACAAGGGACGCTGGGAGAGATTGTCCCTCAGACATGCAAGGCAGGGCAGAAGCCAGAAACCCAGATTTAGTCATGCTGACCACCTAGACTTGGAGACTTGGGGCATGATGAAGAGGCACTAACCAGCTCAATCTTGATGCTTTGGTAGTCTCCAAAAGTAATTTTGGATTTTACTGGAAACTCAGAATTAGAAAGCACCACAGTGTCACCTGGTCCAGTTCTAGTGCAGTGTACAGATCTACAGCATCCAGACAAAGTCCATTGCCTCCCAGTCCAAAGATGAGCTCACAACCTCCTACCACAGCCCACTCCATTTTCTGTCAGCTCCAATTGCTGTAAGGGTCTTTTAACCTGGAGAAGCTGCCTCCCTATGACCTCTACCCCCTTAGTTAGCTAATGGAGTTCAAGATCAAATTGTGGATGAATCCGTTGCAGCCCTTGTTCATATACTGGCATGACACAGGCTGTAGACCTCAAGACTAAGAAGACAGTGAAGAAATCTGAGCTATGGCTTCTCCAGTGTTAGTGACTGTCACTTCAAAAGAATACATGCAGTTGGAGGATGTGGCAGCTGGAGGTGGGGAGGGGAGACACAGCTGAGGTCAGTCAGGTAAATGACATTCTTAAGGCTTGGGCACTGGCCATCATGAAAGATAAGAAACATTCTCCCTGGTGCCCTCTCCCAGAGAAGGAGAGGAAGACCTCTGAAGGTATGAGGGCAAGGATGTGGTGCCTGTCAGAGAACCAGGTATAGCTGTCATTCAGGGGTAAAACTAGGAGTACTTCCTTCCCTCCTTCCTGTTCCCTGGGCACAGTTTGCCCTGCTTTTAGAACTTACCCCATTTTGCTTTGAGCTTTCCTTATTTGGGTATGAGTTCCTTCCTTTCAAGAGCTTGGGAAGGGGCAGCCATGTCATTCATCTTTTTAAATATGTGTTTGTGGGATTGTAATTTTCTTTCAGACAGCAAATTTTTGCATTGGAAGTTAGCAATGTGATGCCTATGGAGTGTAAAAATAGTCTATTTCTCTACATGCTGACTCTTAGTAGGGATATATGTAAAGCATTAGCCACCTCTGAATAGTAACAATAATAGTGGTGATTATCCAATAAGTCATTTATTTGTTCAGCAAACTTATGGGTTGCTACCAACTTGCACTGGTAGAGTCCTTAATAACTTTCAAAGTCCTTGATCACTGTGATTTCATATTTTCTAGCCCCAGCTCAGCCTCTTGCCATCCAGGTGTAGGGCTGGATTTGGAAGTGTCAGGTGAGTACATAAGACCTGGGCAGCAGAATGGAGAGGCCAGGGCTTCCAAGATGAAAGCAGTGGCCAGTGTCATGTGAATGTCCCATACCTGGGACATTAGGTTGTTGACATGGATGGGGTCATGCAGGAGATGTACTTACAGGGTGAAGAGTTTTTGCTTTCATGTAAAGAATGGGGCTGGACAAAGGCACCTCTTTTGCTATGATTTGAGTAATTCTCTCCTGGAGTGTTGTATCTATAATGAAATTCTGGAAAGAAAAGATTAAAAATGCAGTTCATTGCCTGGGAACAGTGGCTGTCCCCACTCGCCTTTCTGAGGCCCCAGGTGAGTATTACCTTTAGGTGGTTCCTTTCTGCAGGCTCTTCGGGAGGTAGGAATCTTAGTGCCACAGTCCTGACATTTGTTACCCTGCATTTCAGTGCCAGAATCAGAACAGAAGCTGTGTCCTGTATCAGAATCTGAAAAAGCCCAAGTTGCATAAATGAAGGGTAAGCGTCTTAATTATAGTCATAAAATACGGTGTGGAGAGCAGAGCTATAACCATGCAGGGTATGTATTTGGCACCAAAGTACTTAACGTCCCGGCTGTGTCACCAAGGGAAGTTGCCAGCCTGGGGTAACATTTGGGATTCCCGTCTAACAACTGAGAAATGTTTTGATAATTAACATTTCTTGTATGAAAATCTCAAGAGGTAGCATACATATTTAGGCTTAGTAAAGGTCTGCTGAATGAATGGATCTGCGATTTGGCCCACTGAACTATCAGACAACCTTGTATTTGTATTTGTTCTTCCATAGTTGGCCTGATACGTCCACATTCTTTCTCTCAGACCCTGCTGTGGCCAAGAGCTTGTATTTTGTCATCCAGGCAACTGGAAAGATAGGTTTCTTCTATGTGACATTCATAAGCCTATAAGGGAACCTGAATCATGACTTTGCTCTCTTAGCCTCAGAGAAGCTAGTAGCAGACAGCACATGCATCTGGTGCAGGTCTAGAACCTGTCTGGCAGGCTGTGGACAGAGCAGCACTCCAGGTAAGGCCAGAGTATGAAAGCCTGGGGCCAGGCGGGTGAGCATGTCAGGCCTGGATGTCCAAGCAACATCTTGCTGCAGGACAGATGCTGCAGTGACAAAGCCTCTTCCAATGCTTCTCGCCTTACTGAACTCATGGTTAGACTCATTTTTAACATTATCTTTCAAAGTATGTTAAAGTGAAGTCATCCCTGGCTGACATCTTGACTTTTAACATATTATACAATATATAATAACTTCATTGTATAAGAACAAATCCATTTCATATTAGCAAATGGAATGAGTTTGAAGGCCCAGGGTTGAAGCCTGGCTCTGCTACTTATTAGCTATGATGGTTGAAAATATGTTCACAAATTCTTTAACATGCTGTTTTTATTTTTTTTTTTTTTTGAACCAAGGTTTCATTCTGTTGCTCCCAGGCTGAAGTGCAGTGGCTCAATCACAAGCCTCCACCTTCTGTGTTTTTTGGTTGTGTTTTTGTGTTTAAATATTGGGTCCCTATATTGTCCAGCCTGGTCTTGAACTCCTGGACTCAAGCAATCCTGGTTCAGCCTCCTAAAGTGCTGGGATTACAGATACAAGCCACCACACCCAACTGACACTCTCTTTAAAAGGTAGAGCCTAATTCCTCTCCCCTTGAGTGTGGGCTGGGTTTAGTGACCCACTTCTAACAAATAGAATAAAGTGGTAGTGATGGCATATAACTTCCAAAACCAGGCCATGAAAGACACTGAAGCTTCCATCTCAGTATATCTTTCTTGGATCACTTGCTCTGGGGGAAGCTGCCTGCCGTGTCGTAACGACACTCAAGCAGCCTATCGGAGAGGCCCACATGTCCTGCCAATGCTCATGTGAGTGAACCATCTTGGAAGCAGATCTTCCAGCCTCAGGCAAGCCCCCAGATGACGGCATCCTTGGCTGACATCTTGACTAAACCTCATGAGAGACCCTGAGCCTGAACCACCCAGCTAAAGTGCTCCCAAATTCCTGACCCACAGAAACTCTAAGATGATAAATGTTTGTTGTTTTGAGCCTTAAGTTCTGGGATACTTGGTAACACAGCAATAGATAACAAATACACTCACACTCACTCTTTGGTCCTGCCAAGTCACTTAACTTCTCTGAGCCTCTAGTTCCTTATCTATAAGCATTCCTGCTTTACAGGGATATTGTGAGAGTTATGTGATATACACTGGCAACAGTTTTCAAACTTTTGATTCCAGAACCCTTTTACACTCTTAAAACTGAGGACCCCAAACAGCCTTTGTTTCTGTGGTTTTAATCTACCATAAACTGATAATATATACCATTTTATATACCTGAGGTGAAAATCCCCACTCATTGGAGAACAGCTATCATTCAACATTCAGTCCACTGCAGATGGATTGGTAGAGAAGTATTAATTTATAGATTACTAGTCATTTTTTGCTTGTGCAGAATCATTTAGATTTCCTAAAACTAAATGAGCAGTTCCAAGGTGCTTTTTTTTAGAATTTTAAACTGAGACGTTTAAAAGACAATTTTATTTATTATAGCATTTAAAAAGTAATAAATCCATTTCATATTAACAAAATAGCATGTTTTTAATGAAAATAACTATTTCCAAAAAATTTAGTGAGAAGAGTGGCATCAGTTTATGTTTTGGCAAATATCTTGAATATCTGGCTTAATAAAAGGCAACTGGATTCCACAGCTGCATCTCCATCAGTTGCCTGCAATACTAGAGTTGCACAGCTATATAGCTGGTCAAGGAAGGACCCGGTGGCCCCCGAAAGGGTTTCAGGAAACCCAGGGGACCCCCCAGTTACAGCTGGAAAACCCCTTCTTCATTATACCATCCGGCATAATACATCTTCATTCAATGAACCCTTTTTTTTTTTTTTTTTTTTTTTTTTTTTTTGAGACGGAGTCTGGCTCTGTCGCCCAGGCTGGAGTGCAGTGGCGTGATCTCGGCTCACTGCAAGCTCCGCCTCCCGAGTTTACACCATTCTCCTGCCTCAGCCTCCTGAGTAGCTGGGACTACAGGTACCCGCCACCACGCCTGGCTAGTTTTTTTGTATTTTTCAGTAGAGACGGGGTTTCACCGTGTTAGCCAGGATGGTCTCGATCTCCTGACCTCGTGATCTGCCTGTCTCAGACTCCCAAAGTGCTGGGATTACCGGCTTGAGCCACCGCGCCCGGCCCAGGGAACCCTATTATTATTTGTAAATGTGTTTTCTACAGAGAAGCCAGTGCAGAACGAAGTGTGACTGAACAGAAGGCAGAGCTGGAGGCACGGCTCTGGGCCACAGGCAGTGCGGATGTAAGAAAGCCTGGGCAGCTCTCCAGTGCAACTTCCTGATGCATAAGCTGGGGAGACAAGATGGGTAGGTAGGTTAGGCTCAGAGGTGATTTTTAAGCTGAGAAGCTGCCTGAGCAGAGGCCTCCAGCCCCACCTCTTCTCCCAGGGCAGTTCTGCTAAATGTTTCTCTCCTTCAACTATCTTTGCAGAAAGGATCTTATGACTAAAAACCATTGAATTGCATGCACTGGGACACCTCCCAGCTCCAACTTTCTTTGCTTCTGTGAAATGTATATATCCAAGACAGCAGCAACTCTCACGTAGCCTGTAACCTTACCAGGTACAGTTATGGGTCATGTGGGAAGGATGAGGATGGACAGACTGAAAGACATCTTGTGATTGAGTCCATGGAGTCCTTCATTTTCAGCTAGAAACAGGTGTTCATGCTTCACTCTACTTAACCACATCTTATTGAAAGTGATTCTTTTTTTCTTTTTTCTTTCTTTTTTTTTGAAATAGGGTTCTACTCTGTCACACAGGCTTGAGTGCAGTGGCATGATCATGGTTCACTGCAGCCTCGACCAGGGCTCAAGCAATCTTCCCACCTTAGCCTCCCAAGTAGCTGGGACTACAGGCGCGAGCCACCACACCCGGCTAATTTTTGTATTTTTTTTTTACCGATGGAATTTCACCATGTTGGCCAGGCTGGTCTTGAACTCCTGAGCTCAAGTGATCCACCCACCTCAGCCTCCCAAAGTGCTGGAATTACAGGCGTGAGCCCCCATGCCTAGCCTAATAATTCTTTACATTTTGCACATAAATAAATACATCATGCAACATCCTAGCATAGGGAAATGCTCTTGGAGTGGCAGATGGCAAGCTGGTGCCCACCGTGAGAAGACCCCATGGGGAGGGACGCTGAAGACTGAGCACCCAGCCCAAGCCCATCAACTTACTGGGAGTGGAATCTGAATGTGGTGCCTTTTCATGGACAGTTGAAAATCTTCCACAGTGGATCCTTCTGTGGCCCTTTTTCTCCACTTTTGGCTTCCTAAAAAAGGGCATGAGATCCTGTAAACTTTCAGTGCATTTCCAATAAAGATAGGGAAAGTTTTGGTAAAGCTGAAACATTAAATTTTGTTATATCAGAGCCTGAAACAGTGTAGGAGGGGCTTGTCATCCTCCACACAGAGCTCTCGTCTGCCTGCCTGTTTGAGAGCTTTTCTACAAAAAATTGCACCCCAGCACAATTTGGCCTGATAAGAAAATGTACACAAGACATGAAAAATAAATGTTTTGTTCTGCAGAGGTTAATATCTAATCATCATATACACATTTACAAAACACATTTGAAGTGTGGAATTATAAAGTTTGGAGTTTTCCTCATGCATCAAAATCCATTCCAGGCTGGATGTGGTGGCTCATGCCTGTAATCCCAGCACTTTGGGAGGCCAAGGAGGGCGGATGGCTTGAGACTAGGAGTTCAAGACCAGCCAGGGCAACATAGCAAAACCTCATCTCAAAAACAAACAAACAAACAAACAGTTCCTACCAGGGGAAGAAACTATGCTATACGTCAGTAAAGGGTCACGTAGCTTTGGCCCTGGAAGTACAAGCTGATTATATCCAACAACTCCAGCAAAGTGAGCTTTGTCAGGTGTCTGTGGGACTAAAGGCTGTGGGAGCATGTGGAGGTGATTTTAGTTGCACATGGCCACCAGGTGGCATCAGAAAGAAGCAACTGCAATGGACATTCTTCAGGAGCCTTCCTGTGGCCCACCTGCAGCTTCCTCCCTCCTCCTCAGAAATCCCAACTCCTCCAAAGGAATTCGAATTAATAACAGTTCTGAACAAAGCTCTTGCTCAGCTCCTGGGATACAGTAATAGCCCCCACGGAAAGTTGTTCATTCTTAGTGTGGAAGGCACCGTGCCCAAGACATCCTGGCATGAATGAGGCAGATTGCCCAGGGCTGGGGTTTGAGCCCAAGGCATTGCTGGGCAAACACACGCTCGCCGTGCTGTGCCCTGGCCTGCTGTTGGAGGAGAAGGGACGGGACTGTGGATTCGTGGGGCTGGGGCTGAGAAGCCAGGCCCTTTCCCTCCTCTTGGAAAAACATGCTGTCCTCCTGAGTCACATATTTTCTCACACCTCATTTTCTGTCTCCACCCTCCTCCTCTGGGGCATTTGAACATCTGCTCTCCAAAGTGGGAAACTTGGATCTCACTCAAGTGTGTGCAGTCCAACACAGGGCTTTTTCTGCTTTTAAACTCCTTTGTGCACTCAAATCTTCTGGCCAAACTTAATTCCACTGGAGAAGACAGCTTTTCAACAAGACAAAGCAGCTAAAGTGAACCCTTAAATCCAAAGTTTTGCATCAGAAATAACATAAAGGGATAAGCATATTTTACATTTTATACATATATAATTTATCCACTTACATATAAACAATTTACAAATATCCTGAAAATAATATGTACATCAGCAAGCTTCCTAAAGGACAAGCCCCACCAGAGAGAGATTTAATCTTCTAACAGAGTATATAGCCCTCCCTTCAGTCAATAATTCCTCAGGGATTATGTAGGTTACCAAGATTTTAATTCATAAGTCATGTGTATCTCCTCATCACTCCCCAGGAGTGGATTCACTGTGAGATTTGATTGTACACTTGGTTATCCTTCCAGCTTGGCTATCATAAAAAAGTATGACTTAGTCTGGAACATTGGTTCCTGTCTTGGTACTTAATGTACTTCTGTAGGGTATACACTAGGAATTTAGAAGAGAGAAATTTAGTACCTTGAATGCTTAATAAAAATGTTTTTTAAATGTCAAAATACTTTCATTATACTTAGTAAAATCTTTAAAAATCCAAAATTAGACTTTAATTCAATAAATAAAAATAGTAGGCCTGGGATGACTCAGTGAGTAAGCTTCATGAGTGCCCCTTGGATTAAAGGGGAGCTCAAAGCTGATGACTGACATGGTGGTTTAATGACCCACACATGATGACACACGACCATTTTTAGCACAAGCTTCATGCAGTTTCTTTTTTCAGGGGTGGACATTCATTAGAACACTTAAGACAGGTGCCCATTCCCACAACGGAATGCTTTCTAACAGGAAGCCTCAGTCTTTCAGGCCCGGTCATCTGCTTCTATTAGAGTTCATTACGTACATATAATAGTGGTTGCTTAACACCTGCTGCCTCCCTGACTCTCGACCTTCCAAAGGTCAATGAGCCAAGCTTTGGCTGGAGTCCACAGTGAGCTTAGAGGTAACATCTCTCGCTACCTGAAAGAAGCTTCAGATAAATGATACTGAATCGACACAGATTAATAGTTGCACCAATGGGTGTTTCAAAAACAAAGAATTTCTCCTGAGGATTTGACATGATTTACAGCTTGTTAGCTCTGGAAGATTTAGTGCTTAGGAATGGGAAGAAGTCAGCCCTGAGAAGAGGGATGAGGCTTGTTCCTGGGACTGGGGGGCTTAGATGAAACCCAACAGAGAAGACTTTTGCTTATCATAAGGAGAGAGTAGGGATGGTGGGACCTGTTTGTTATACAGGATAAGATTCCCCCACGTGGGCAATGTTCAAAAGCCTACAGGACCACCCTCCGTGGGCTGTAACCATGATTCTTAACCAACGGGGCTTACCCGAATCACCTGGGGAGATTTAAAAGCACTATTCCTACCAGAGCCCCACCGCTGGCGATGCTGAGATAGTAGGTTGGGTGGAGGCATGTGCATGATTGTAAAATCTCTCATGGTGATTTTGATGTTCTCCCCAGTTGAGGACCACTGCTACCGGATCTGTAGGGTAAGAGGGAGGCTGGGCTCTGTGCCCAGGCCTGAGATCTGTGACTCTGTAACTCAGCCAGCGGCCTCAGTTAGTTGCCGCCCACCCTCGCTGGAGTTACTATGCCAGGACTGACTCCAACCCACCCTGGGAATGTAGCCGCAAGAAGCCCTCACCATTCAAGGAGCCTGCGACAGAAGGCACAGCTCGGACTGGGTGCCGTCGTCTCTGAACAATCCTGCCTTCCTGGAGTGCACCTGGGGTCCTCCTGCGTCACAAAGCACACGGATGGAGATGTTAGAGAGGATGTGACTCACGCCGCGCACAGGCCAGCAAGCAGCTAAGGTCCGACTGAACTTGCCACATCAGGCAGAGAGAGAGACTCGCCAAACCTCTCCTCCAGATGGGGAAACGGAGGCGCAGGGGGACAGGAGGAAAAGAAGAAAGAGCCCATCCTTAGTTCTGATGTCTCACTCAGTTGGGGCTGCATCTCTCACGTCCTGGACTGAAGAATGGAAGTTTCCACCCTGGCTTGCTTCTTTCCTCCTCTAAACAGATTTTAAAATCTGGTATACAGATGTCAGAATACTTTCCCCTTTTTATGTTTCCCTTAGTTTCAAATTACTCCAAGCTTCACCAGAGAATGAACAGATTTAGGAACATAATTTTTAGGTCTATTAATCTGACCACTGGCTAGTAGAGTTCTAAAAGCCTTTCCAAAGAAATAGATTCAGCTATGAATTAAAACAAGGTTTAGGGACTGTCTGGGGGCCTAAATGCTTGCTTGTATGTCCCTTTCTAACACAAAACAATTACTCCACTGACCTGTGAGGGCTGATACCACCCACTGTGTTTTTGACTATGGTCTTACCCTTTATGTAAGTAAAAAATAAATGTACTTTTCCCATCATTATAAACAATGGCAGAAGTATCATTGTACACATAGCTTTTTCCACATCTTGGATTACTGCCTGAGGAAATGTCTGGGCCAAAGGTTGCGAACATGTTTGTGTGATGACCTATATTGCCAAATGGCTTTCCACAAAAGTTGTACAGATTTCACAGCCACCAACAATGTGGTCGGCTCAGTTTGACCACACCTTCCTCTGCATCAGGAATTACCACTTGAAAATGTTTCTGCTAATTGAATGAGGCGGGGGGGGGTCACTTTTTGTGTTAATTTGCATTTCCTCCTTGACGAAAGGAAGTAAGTCTGTTACTAGATGTTGATTTATTGGTTGTATTTCCTACTTGTGACTTTTTTTTTTTTTTTCCCTGAGACGGAGTCTCACTCTGTTGCCCAGGCTGGAGTGCAGTGGCCCAATCTCGGCCCACTGCAACCTCCGCCTCCCGGGTTCAAGTGATTCTCCTGGCTCAGCCTCCTGAGTAGCTGGGATTATAGGTGCCCACCACTATCCCCAGCTACTTTTTTTTTTTTTTTTTTTTAGTAGAGACAGAGTTTCACCATGTTAGCCAGGCTGGTCTCAAGCTCCTGACCTCATGATTCGCCCTCCTCGGCCTCTCAAAGTACTGGGATTACAGGCGTGAGCCACTGCGCCCGGACTTACTTGTGACTTTAGCTCATGTCCTTTGTCCATTAATTTTCTTGGAGGGTTTCAGTGTTTTCCTGTTACCATTTGTTAGTTGTTCATGATGTGCCAGGTGCTTCTTTTATAGTCTCTTTAATACTTCCAGCCATCCTGGCACATTGTCTCCATTTTAATGGTGAGTAATATGAGGCTCAGAGGATTTAAGCAACTTGGCAAGGTCGCATCATGAGTAAGTAGGAGAGCTGGGATTTGAACTTTTACCTATCTGACTGGTATGTTGTGTTTTTTGTTTTTTGTTTTTTTTTTTTGAGATGGAGTTTCTCTGTGTTGCCCAGGCTGGAGTGCAGTGGCGCAATCTTGGCTCACTGCAACCTCCGCCTCCCTCCCAGTTTCAAGCGATTCTCCCACCTCAGCCTCCCTTCCAAGTAGCTGGGACCAGAGGCACACACCACCACACCCAGCTAATCTTTGTATGTCTTAGTAGAGACAGGGTTTCACCATGTTGGTCAGGCTGGTCTCGAACTCCTGACCTCAAGTGATCCACCCGCCTTGGCCTACCAAAGTGCTGGGATTATAGGTGTGAGCCACTACGTCCGGCCAGTATACTTGTGTTCTTAACCACAGTTCTGTTCCTTGGGGAATTTGTCACAGCATTTGATACAATGAAGTTCTCAGCAATGAACATTATTTGCTCTTAATATTTTCTCAGTTGTCCATCTACATTTTTTTAATTGACTATGGTTTCAGTTTTGTAAACAATTTAAAATATCAGTATTGTCAAGGAGGAGGTGCGAGTGGCCAAGAAACATGAAAATAGGTTGAATTTCAAAAATAGCCAGTTTAAAATAATGAGATATCAGTTTTCACTTATGCATTTAGCAAAAGTTGGAAAAAAATGTCTGGGGTAGGCTCAAACTGGAGACACCAACATTCCCACGCACGCCCTCAGCCTATAAAACCCCCACGGCCTTCCTAAAGGCCAGATTATCAGAATTTTCAGCATGTACCATTTGAACCATTAACTGCAATCCTAGGGTTTTATTCTAAAGAAATGATCAACTACAAAAGTTTGCATGTCAAATGATGTTACCTGAAGCAATGTTTATGATATCAAAGAACTGGAAAAAATGAAACGTCCATCAATGAGAGATTGTCTAAATGTGTCAGAGTACATTAATATAATGAAATATAGTGCAGTCATCAAAAATGAAGTGATAGGTTTATTCTAAGTGATGTGGAGAGCTGCTCAAAATATAACATTAAATGAAAAGCATAAAACTATATATATATATATATATATAGTAAAATCCTATTTTGGCCAAAATGTATATATAGGAGAAAAAAAGACTGGAAGGAAATACACTAAAATATTAGCAATGGGTCAGGCACAGTGGCTCACACCTGTAATCCCAGCAATTTGGGAGGCTGAGGTGGGTGTATTACTTGAGGTCGGGAGTTCTAGACCAGTGTGGGCAACATGGTGAAACCCCCTCTCTACTAAAAATACAAAAATTAGCTAGGCGTGGTGGCACATGCCTGTAATCCCAGCTACTCAGGGGGCTGAGGCAGGAGAATCACTTGAACCCAGGAGGTGGAGGTTGCAGTGAGCCGGGATCGCACCATTGCATTCCAGCCTGGGCAACAGAGCAAGACTGTCTCAAAAAAAAAAAAATTAGCATTGATTTTCTTCTCAGTGGAAGTTTCTTCTTTACACTTTTCTTTATTTTCTCATTTCTTTTGTAATAAGCATGTATCAGTTTTATAATTTTTTAAAAAGGGTTTTTTCATCCATTTTTCCCGTGTGTTTGGTTTTTTTTTTTATTTTATCACTGCTAAGCTTACAGGGTTACTCCTGCACTTGACATTTAAGGCAGATTTACATTAGCAGAATGCAGGGAGGTGCCCCTCTTCCTGAGTTGGAGACCTGGGCTTTAATATCGCCTATCATTTACCCTGAACAAATCTCACCTTTCTAAATTACTCTTCCTCAACAAAAAGACTCTGCAAACTGTAAAGCTCTGAGCCAACAGAATTATTATATCATTGTTTACTGCTTATTATAATATTGCTATCATTTAAGACCCCAGGGTTGTTAATCCCAGCATTTCCAATTCATTCAAAATGAAATAATCTCTAGACCCTCGGAACTTCAAGTGTGGTCCCCAGACCAGAACCAGCAGCTTTGGCATCACCTGGGGCTTGTTAGCAATGCAGAATTGCAGGCTCACCCCAAACTTACTGAATCAGAGCCTGCATTTTAACAAGATCTGCAGCTGATTCGTAGGCTTAGCGAAGTTGGAGACGCTCCGGTCTAGGTACGCCTGCCAAGTTTCTCAGGAGTGCCGAAAGTCAGAAACTGTCAGCAGTACCAGCCATCACCAGCACTGACACCAAGGATGCCATTAGGAAGAGGCAGATGATCTTGATTATGCCAATTTCACAGTCACATTCGGCAACACTGGTTTTAGTTAAAGAACCAACAATGAGAAGAGCCCAGCCAGGCCGTGGCTGCAGGACATTACCCCAGAGTTAGAAGACAGCCTCATGGCCACTTGGTCTGGCTGGTTCTGGACAGTTGCATCTCCATAATGACCATTTAGGTAACTAATTTAAAAAGAAAAAAAAAGCAGTTTGAATTTTAGAATCAGTTCTTGAGCTACCCGGGAGCTCCACTATTTGGAATCATTTGGCTTTATTCTGGCAGAGTCATTGGGAATTTAATTTAGCACCCCTGGGATGGTGGGAGCGAGCAACCTAAGGCAAAGAGTGCTGTGGGCCTCGTGTGGCCATCTGACCTTCACCTCTCCCCCTGTCCCACAGCCCCAGCCGTCACGTCCCTCAGATCTCTGCCCAGAGGGTTGCAGAGGCTAGCCAGGCCCTGCTGGTGGGGCAGGTGAGGAGCCAGGCTCCCAGGCTTTGTAACTCGTGGTCCAAGACTGCTTTTCCTGTGGGAGCCCCGTGGGCCCCTCTGGAGGCTGTATGAGGAAAGGGCCTCTTGCTGTGTCCTGTGTCTGCTGGGGCTGCAGGGCGAGAACTCACATCTGCGGGGTCAGCTCACAGAGCTCCTCCTTGGGGGCCTCCTGCGGCCCTCCTTGGGGTGTCCCTGTCGCCTCACTCCCACCTGAGCCTCGAGGCCCAGGAGGGTGGCCAGGGTGCTCCTCGGGAACCTGGAGAGCCACACAAAAGGACTTGAATTAGAGCCACAGTCCCACGGGAGGTAACTCAAAATCAGTTCAGCATCCCTACAGTGCCCGTAAGACACCATAACATCCTGCCTGGCGTCCCCACCCGTCTCCCCCAGCTCCTTACCTAGCTGCCTTCTCATCCTCCAAGACTCAGTCCAAATCTCACCTTCTCTGAAAAACCTTCTCCCTTAGTAATTCAAACCTTCTGCATTTAGTTACTTTTGGTCATATCCCATTACTTAATAGTCATGATAGCATGACTATTACATGACTATTACAGGAGTAATGTGCTTATTGTGAGCCAGGCCCTATTTTCAACACATTACTTATATTACCTCATTTAAACATTGTAACAGCCCCGTGAAGCAAGTATTATTATCCCCATTTTACAGAAGAGAGAACTGAGGCACAGAGAGGTTGCATAACTTTCCTAAGATCACAAAGCTAATAAGTGACAGAGCCAGTATGTGAACCCAGGCAGTCTGGCTTCAGAGTCATGCAGAATGTATTATTATTTTCTGCACCATGCTTTTAACATTTAATAATTATATGTTAATTTTTTTTTTTTTTTTTTTGAAATGGAGTCTTGCCCTGTCGCCCAGACCAGAGTGCAATGGCGCAATCTTGGCTCACTGCAATCTCCACCTCCCAGGTTCAAGCGATTCTCCTGCCTCAGCCTCCCAAGTAGCTGGGATTATAGGTGTGCACCACCACACCTGGCTAATTTTTTGTATCTTTAGTGGAGACGGTGTTTCACCATGTTGGCCAGGCTGGTCTCAAACTCCTGACCTCATGATCCGCCTGCCTCAGCTTCCCAAAGTGCTGGGATCACAGACGTGAGCCACCGCACTCAGCTTATTTGTTAAGTATGTGTCTCTCTCACAGAAATGTAAGCATCTTGAGGGCAGGTGATTTGTCTGTTGTTCATGTTGTATCCCCAGTACCTAGAAAAGGGCTAGCATATAGCAATACATACTGCTGAGTGAATGAAGGATGCCAGCAGTAGACTCTTTCCAGGGCCACTTACCACAAAGTTATTTAGAGAGTTCTCATAATTTCACAACAGTATCTGTAAACTTGGGACCAAGTAAAGAAGAGCAGATCCAGACCCAGAGAGCCGCAGGTAGAGGGCAGGGCCAACCCTGAGGTGGCCTCACAAAGACTCGCGACTCCTGCAGGTCCAAGACTAGTAGGGCAGCCGCTGTGAGCCTGGAGACTGCTTGGGTGCCTTGAGATGGGCTGTTACATCCGCAGTGGCTCGGGGCTTCCTCTATGAAGCATCGACTCTCCTGGGCTTTCAGCTGGACATTCAGGATTCAAAGATGAGGGCAGAGTCACAGAGACAAACGAGACCCAGTGCTGCGGGGACACAGAGGCTGGAGCCAAGAATTCCTCCAGGTGCAGGGGATCGGGGGGCTTGGGGGTGAGGAGGGTGGCTGACTAGGAGTGCATAAATGACCTGACAGTAGAGCTGGGACTTGAATGAGTGAGATTTTGCCAGGCAGGTAAGTGCTTTGAGGAGGCAAACACTTCTTCGGAAGGGCTAACGTTGACATAATCTTGGTCACTTTGTCCTTTGCTCTGACAAAATCCTCATTCAAGTTGGAATATCAGCCCCAGGCTGTGGCTTCAAATACTGTATGAAACTAAAGAGTCAATTTAAGGTATTTATTTAAATGATTCCATTTCTGAGAATTTTAATTTTAGTCTGAATGTTCTGATAGTTGAGGCTACAAAGGCAAAAAGTGTAGAAAGACAGTGGTGGTTGATTTGAATTCTGAATCTTGCATATGTAGAAATCCAAAAGAATTTAACTTGAGAAAAGGAAAATGCAGAAGTGGATTCATGGGAAATAATTATTTCACTGAGTGTGCTATTCTTTATTTTCAGGTGGCTCATGCCTGTAATCCCAGCACTTTGGGAGGCCAAGCAGGTGGATCACTTGAGGTCAGGAGTTTGAGACCAGCCTGGCCAACATGGTGAAACCCCTTCTCTACCAAAAATATAAAAAAAGATTAGCCAGGCGGTGGTGGCATGGGCCTGTAATCCCAGCTACTTGGAAGGCTGAGGCAGGAGAATCACTTGAGTCTGGGAGGCAGAGGTTGCAGTGAGCTGAGATTGTGCCACCACACTCCTGCCTGGGTGAGTACAAAACTATGAAGAAAAAAAAATTATTTCTTCCAGACATGATCTATAAAAACTTTCTTATTCATCTGGAAGGAATAGCTCTTCAGTGGTTTAATGGGTTTAAACAGCATTGTTACATCCTAAACTATAAAGATGTTTCAAAAATTAACACTTGAAATGCTTCTAATCTTTAAAAGCTGGTTCCATTTAAAATAATATAATTCATGGGACTTTGGAAAGTTAAGTTTTCATGAGATATTAAAATGAAATTCAGTGAATCCATGAATTAGGAGTCTATAAATGCATAAATACCATTTTTCCTGGCACAAAATTAGGCTGTACATTGCTGTATTACCTCATTTGAGAGTGAAGAGGAGGTGGAGGCCAAGTCATCTAGGGTAACTGGAGAACTCACAGGAAGAGAAGGAGCTGAAGTATATTTGCTTTCATCCATTTTATCTTTAACATCTTCAAGTAGCATCTCCAACTTGAAGATTTCACCTTCCACTTTTCTAAGTAAACATAAACACACAGGCATTTTCTGGGCCATGTAGTTGGCATTCTAATTAATAACGACGGTTCTTGAATACGGCACTGATTTATATTATTAATGTGGCCTGTCTTCTGGCACAAAGGATAATGGGAGCCCTCATGACTGTTCATAGTTTCTCTGACAGCCTGGGCTCTGATCTTCACCTGCTCTCCATTAGCTGCGTATCCGTGTACAAATCACTTAGCATTTCTGGGCCTCCAATGTCTCACTTATAACCTGGGATAACAATACTGTACCTTACTTATCCGGATTTGATGATTTTGAGGTCCCTTACAAGGGATTCTAAGAACTGTGATTCTATGGAAATTTACGTGAATTTAAAAAGAGGAAGAATATTAGATATCTGAATAATTTAATTAACAAGTTCTAACCCATATGAATATATGTATGTGTATATAAATATATATTTTACCCAACAAAGAGAATCCATTTTCTTCAAATCTGTTACATTTATAAAAATTTACCTTGTAACAGTCCACAAAGAAAAATTTCAAGAAAATCCAAAATATTAAAAATTATACTACCTACATTCTCTTATCACTAGACATTAACAACGAAAACATAGCCCCCCAAGAAAACCCTATTTAACTAGAAATTTTAATACCTAAATAGCTTTGGATTAAATAGGAAACAAAAATGAATATTAGGCATAACTTACAAGTCAATGACAAATGAGAGAATAACATAGGAAATCATATGTAATGCAGTTAAAGCAGTACTCTGAGGAAAACTTCTAGTCTTAAATGCATTATTGGAAAAAAATCAACAATCAATAAACTATTTAAATCAGGAAGATAGAAAAGGGAATATAAAATAAACCACAGAACAGGATTCATAAAATTACTAGAAATAAATGACACTTAAAATAATTTGATCAATAAAATAAAACATGTTTTTTTCCAAAATATCTATAAAACAAACCACTGGATGTCTGAAAAACAAATAACATTAAGAATGAGAAAGGAAAAATAGGAAACATTTTAAATCAAAAGGCACTGGAAAATTCATATCAACACCATTTAAAATTTAGGTGAATTGGGCAAGTTTCTAGGATAATATAAATTATTAAAATTCATTTTAAAAAGGTAGAAAATACGAAAAGACTAATAACCAGAGAAAAATGGAAATTGTCAAAAATCTACTCCACAAAAGGCATGAAGAATAGGATAATGGGTGAGTTCTACCAAGCCTTTTAAAAAAATTTTCAATGTCTCTAGTATGTTAATTTTTATATATTACATAGTTTAAAAGGTAATTTATTACAGTTTGAAAGTATATATTTCAACATATATTTTTACAGGAGAAATTTAAATCAGGTATATGCAGGCCCCTGAAGCATTTGTATAGAACCTCAGAGTTCACTAAACATAATTCTATCAAAACTTTTAAGCAACAGATGAGTCCTATGTTATTAGACTCTTCCAGAACATGAAAATAAAAGGGAAAATTGCCCAACTCATTCTGTGGTTCAACATTAGAATATTTATTAATATATTCCACTACATTGATAGATTAAAGGATAAAAACTAGATTTCTAAATCCTATTCGATTAAACATTTTATTAAATTAAATAACAGCAAAAGCCCTAGTTCTAGAAAGCTAGGAATAGAAGAAAACTTCCTTGATGAAGCTTATTTACTTGAATCATACCTGGGAGAATTCTCATTATTATTAGTAACATTGACGAGAATGCTGTCTTTTATGGCTCACGCCAGTAATCCTAACACTTTGGGAGGCCAAGGCGTGGGAGGATCACTTGAGCCTGGGAGGTCAAGACTAGCCTGGACAACATAGGGAGACCCTGTCTCTACAAAAAAATTTTTTTATTAGCTGGGCATGGTGGCATGCACCTGTAGTCCCTGCCACTCAGGAGGCTGAGGTGAGAGGATCCCGGAGTCCAGGAGTCTGAGGTTGCAATGAGCTATGATTGTGCCACTGCATTCCAGCCTGGACAAGAGTGAGACTTGGTCTGAAAAAAAAAATGCTGTCTGTCACTGGCATTAATTATTCACTATTGTTCTGGAAAACCTAGCAAATGAAATAAAGAAAAAGAAATGAGACATATAAGAGTTGGAGAGAAAAGAAAGTACAATACAAATATTCTAGAGTAAAAAGCTTCTTAATATTTTCAGATGCTACGGATTGTCATACTTAAAAATGGACACAATCAACTAAAAATCAACAAAACACTAAGAAGAGAATTGCATAAGGTAGCCCAGTACAAGCTGAATATACAATATAGAAATATTTCCTATAATATCAATTAGAGAAAACATCTGTCAACTATACTCAGAAAAACTATAAAATGTCTAGTAATAAACTTAACAAAAAATGTGTAAAACCTACATGAAGAAAGCATGCCCCTGGACGGGAATACTCACTGCAAAGATTTCAGTTCTTCCCAACCTAACCTTTAAGTTCAATACCATCCTAAGCAAAATCCTCATGAAATTTCATTAAGAAACTTGGTGAACTGATTATAAAGTTTATTAGTAAGAGGAGTGTACAAGAATAGCTAACAGAAAATTTTTTTAAAAAAGAAAGCATAAATATACACTAACCTATAATAATTTAAAACTGTGTGGATAATGTAGAAATAGAAACATAGATCCATGGGATGGAATAGAAACAGCTCTGTATACACGTGGAGGTTTTGTATCTGATATAAGGAGCTTTCTCAAACAGTGGGGAAAGCCTGCCCTAACCAATAAGTGGTGGGACAAAGATCTAAGCATGAAAAAAACAAAGTAATAATTGAATAAAATATAGGAAAATATGTTGTGATCTTGCAGGCAGAAGAGAATGAAACAGGGGACAAGGAGAGACTGAAAGTTTAAAAGAAATGAGCCTGGGGAACAGTGGCTCATGCCTGTAATCCCAGCACTTTGGGAGGCCGAGGCGGGCGGATCACTTGAGGTTAGGAGTTCAAGACCAGCCTGGCCAACCCGGTGAAACCCCGTCTCTACTAAAGCTACAAAAAAAATAGTCAGGCATGGTGGCATGCACCTTTAATCCCAGCTACTCTGGAGGCTAAGGCAGGAGAATCACTTGAACCTGGAAGGTAGAGGTTGCAGTGAACCAAGATCATGCCACTGCACTCCAACCTGGGCAACAGAGCAAGACTCCATCTCTAGTAATAATAACAATAAAAGAAATGAAATGATGGAGCAACGCCTCAAGGTAGTAGAAAGGGATGGGTTCAAGGATCATGGCTAGAGAGGCTGGAGAGCAAATTAAAGAAGGGAGAGGAGGTGAAAACATGGGGATTTGGAGATGGAAGAGACATTTTTGAGGGAAGTTGTGATCTTTTCTATAAAGCGGAAGATAAGATTTCATGCTGAGACTCTCAGGGAGAAGTGGCTGATGAAGGTAGAACCCCATTTCTTGAATTCTTGGCTTCTGGTGTTAGTATGTGAAAGAGTCAAATTACTATTGGACTACATTCTGATAAGCAAGATGCATGAAATCCAAGCAAATATTTTTGCATATTACCTTGTAAAGGTAATAATGAGAAGGCTTTAATGAGAGCACAGCAGGTGATGTAAACGAAGGACTAGTCAATGAATTTGCAGAATTCTTGCCCCTCCAGAAAGCCCTCTGCATTAGCCTTTGGATTCAACACTTAGAAGGTTCTTGACATATCAGGAACCCAAGGGTTGTATAGGATTCTGTCCCTTGTCACATTATGCCTATTTGAGAACAAGAGGACCATTCTGGAGCTGATGAGTCTTTGCCTGTCCTGAGGTGGCTTTAGCTGAGATTTGGGAAAGGCTGGGTCCCTCCCTTGCCTGTGCTGAAAGCTTCTGCCATATATGGAATGTAATTGCAGTTGAAGTTCTTTTTATTTATACTCGTGCCAGGCACAGTGTGGTTGTAACTAGGATATAAATAAGACATTGAATAACTTTGGTCTTAATGTGCACAGAAGTTTGTCTTTAAAATGACTGCCCAAACAGGAGATTCTTTGGAAAATAAATATCCTTACTCTATTAATTTTAAATAGCTGAAGCATGCAGCGTTCTTTCTTCCCCTACCCCCCAAAAAAGCCTTTGGGAAAAAATCAATATTAAAACCTCATCCTTACTGTCTAATTACTCAGTATTGAAATAAAGGTAGACAGAGATTCCATTCATTTTGGAAAAGTAAAGCCATACCTTGGGGAAAAAAATACCACAGAACGCTAGGGCTGAAATGTAAACCATTAAAAAATTTGGCAACAACGATTCCATATTAAAATGCTATGAATAGAAAGGGCTGAACTTACAAATATTAAGCCTACTAAATAGTTTATTTTAATTTATACCAGGAAATTATAGGGAAAGAATCCACTCCTTGAGTCCTGGAATACAGCTTAAAATTATTTGGAATGAAGAGAGGAGAATACAGTGCCATAAAAACCACCAGTTAGAAACTTCAGTTTCGAGTGTGTGTTCAAGGTTCTAATGTGAATTAACTCAGAAATCATTTAACTTTAAGCTTTAACACTTTTCCTTTATCAGGATTTGTAGGTCCCTCACCCTGACACCCATTAACTTTACAATGGCCCCCTTCTGCCCAGTGTGCCTTGGAATTATCAGTGAATGGGAAAGAGAAGGGGAAAGAGGGGGACAGAAGAGAGAACCAGGCAAGGACAATAAAGGCAGGTGTGGGGAGAGATAGATAAGAAAGGGAAAAGCTGAGAGGGAGAGGAGAGGAGGAACTTGAGAAGAGGGCCCTCTGTGGTTATCATGTGAGCCTTTCTAGGGTTTTCTTAGGCTCCTCTGGGTCTCCAAACCAATTATAATGATATCCAACAAACTGCAAAATTTTGGTACAATGCCTCTGCTCCAGGAAGCATTTGTTCATTTTGGGTGTTCCATCTGAGTCAATGTCCAGCACAGTACCTTACACTCAACAGGTCCTCCATGCTGTCTGTGGCATGGTGACACAGTTTTTGCTGACCCTAGATCAGTGACTCTCCAAGCACTAAACCAGCAGCCACATCAGAATCCCACCTGAAGGAGATCACCTTTGACCCCTCCACCTTACACAGTTGGTTTAAACCTGACCTTTCTGGATCAAAGTCACTGACAATTGTTGATTCGTGCTTGTGGACTTGCTGCTGCAAAGTCAGATGCTTGTCCTTGGTGGCCAGAAAGTTCTGCTCCAGCAGTTCAAGGTGTCCCTGCAGTTTCTCCAGGACCTGCAGCGGTGAAGTCACTGGAATCATTCACATGCAAGTCTGTGTGTGTAATTGTTTTCCCAAAAACACAAAGCAGCCGTACCCTACAGTAGTATCAAAATGAAGCTGCCATCCTTCTCCCAGCAGCATGAATTTTTTTGTCTCAGAATCTGACATCTAAACTACAGACAAACCCAAGGGTCATCTCAGCATTCACAAACCCTCACAGCATATAGCTCAAAAATACAATTACTTCTGATTTCTCTCTCAGAACCCACTCAGAAGCCTCTGGCCTTCCTTAGTGGGACATTCATAATCCTGTATATTTGCAGAATGGTTTTTACTTACAAAGCATTTTTCCATTCCTCATCTTATTTAATCAACACATCAATGTTGTAAATGTGGTAAAGTATATTTTATTTTCCCAGTTTTACAAAGGAGGAAATTGGAGCTCTAGCAGTATGTCTGAGGGCACACATCTTAAAAAGGAACTGGAGTTACATGGCCTGGATTTCAGTCTATGGGGAGTTGGAGGATGAGATGGGGAAGGAACAGCAGGAAGATTTAGCCAGAGCTGTGAATGGGTCTCCAGACATCACCACGTGCAGCCTCAGGCAGACAATTGTTTAAACTCTGCGGGTTAGGGGCATGTTGAAGATGTATGGAGGCTTCAGTCCCACATCCCCAGTCACTAAACATTCCCTGAGCACTGCCTATGTCTGGCCCTGGGCTAGAAGTGTGAGATTGGAAAATTGCATCAGGCACAGTTCCTGGTCTCAGAGATGTTGTTCCATTGAGAAAAGAGACTGTGGCTTAGAGTACTTAGCCAAAGGCCGGGCACAGTGGCTCATGCCTATAATCCCAGCACTTTGGGAGGCTGAGGTGGGCAGATCACTTTAGGTCAGTAGTTCAGACCAGCCTGACCAACATGGTGAAACCCCATCTCTATTAAAAATACAAAAATGATACGGGCATGGTGGTGCATGCCTGTAATCCCAGCTATCCGGGAGGTTGAGGCACGAAAATCACTTGAGCCCGGGAGGCAGAGGTTGCAGTGAGCCGAGATTGCGCCACTGCACTCCAGCCTGGGCAACAGAGCAAGACTCTCTCTCTCTCTCTATTTTTTATATATATAATATATATAGATAATATGTATTATATATGTTATATAGATAATATATAATATATAATATAATATATATTATATTATATATTTTATATAATATAATTATATATAATTTAATTATATAATATAATATATAATAAATAGATAGTATATTATATAGATAATATATTATCTATATAATATAATAATATATACTAAATATATAGTATATTATCTATAATATACATATTTTATATATATTACATATATACCAAAACCAGAGCTCTGGAGCACATATCTATATATGTATATATAGATAGAGAGAGAGACCTTTGCCAAGGCCCAGTGGAAGGAGTGCAACTTAAATCAGGCATAAAGGATGCTCTGGAGGGCCTGGACCAGGCAGTACCCACGAAATGGAGAGGAAGGGATGAATTGGGGAGAGGTTGCCCAGGACAGAAACATAGCTCGGTGAGGTTATAGGATCACACACAACTGGGTTCAAGTTCAGACTCTCACTTACTCATTGTATGAAGTAAACTTGAACTCTCTAAGCTTCAGTTTCTACATCTGTAAAATTAAGGTAAAACTCCTTGCCTCATATTATAAAAACTAAATGAGATCATGTGCATTGTGCCAGGACTATAGTACATACTTGACAGATTATTAATTCTTCTTCTTATTTTTTTTTTACTTAAGACAGAGTCTCACTCTGTCACCCAGGTTGGAGTACAGTGGTGCGATCTTGGCTCACTGTAACCTCTGCCTCCCAGGTTCAGGCAATTCTCCTGCCTCAGCCTCCCAAGTAACTGAGATTACAGGCACGCACCACCATTCCCGGCTAATTTTTGTATTTTTAGTAGAGATGGGGTTTCACCATGTTGGCCAGGCTGGTCCCAAACTTCTGACCTCAGGTGATCCACCTGCCTTGGCCTCCCAAAGTGCTGGGATTACAGGCTGGAGCCACCACTCCCAGCCAATTCTTATTAATATTAAAAATGAATAAACAAGAGTTTGGAAACATATTGGCTAAAGGGTGTATAAAAAACAGCAGGCGTGGCAGATGTTTTACATTTCTCCCCAGGTTCATCCTCTGTCTTTCTCTGTGCTGACCTTTCATGGACTGCACCACAGGCTCCCCTGGGCCCTGGCTTTGGTTGGTTTTAGTCAATGGAAGGCAACAGCAGGAGAGAGGTGTTGGAGGATGAGATGGGAGAATTTTCTTCCTCCCTGTGCCGTCATGGAGTTGACTCTGTCCCTCCACCAAAAGCCACAGGGCTTGTCAGCTAGTCCCACAGTGACAGCTGCTCTCTTTAGGCTCCAGGACCTGCTTTTCCTCTGCCCCTTCAGGTCAAAGGGGAGCTCCCCACGGGTCCTTCCAGGAGATGCTTTTCCATCCCTTATTCGTTTCCCTTAGCCTTGCCCACACTGTTGTAAAATAATTCCTTTGTTAAACTCTCCTCGGTTGCACCATTTAAGTAACCATCTGGTCCCTGCCAGAACACTGACACTGTAAATCTCACAGACAACGCTTGAGTTTGTAAGCTTGGGAAGTGAGAAGAATGTGGTAGACCTGACTAAACTGAGGAATTTGGAAAGGCTAACAGGCTCCAAGATACCGATGTTGGACAAGGTAGAGTTTGCAGTGAGGGTGGGATATCCGAAGTGAGGATAGACACAAACATTTGGAACTATAGATGAGAAGTCAGGACGAGTAATTTAGGAACTGGAAGCCTGAAAATGGCAGCTGAGGCCCTGAGGGGGAATTAGGTGTTCAAGGGAAAGAGGGTAATGAGAAAAGAGATAAAAGCTAATCATGAATTATAATTCAGGATCTTGGAATTTAAATTGCGTTATGTTGCAGAAGATAGGGCACAATTTTCTCAGCAGAAATGTGCCTCACTGAGTTCTCATAACAACTCTGAAAGGGAAGACGTGCTGTAACATGTCTACAGTTGTGTAACCAGTAAGTAGGGGCGCGACACCCGCTCCAAAATCCAAATGCTTTCTGCTGCGTGGTGCTGCTCAGGCTGAGGCGGCTGCTTGTTGCCCTGTCTGGCTTCTTTCAAGACTGAACCACCTGGGCCCGGAAGTCCCAGACCACAGGCTGATACTGTCAGGAGCCACCTTTACTCTCCTCTCAGTCAGCAGGGATCCCCACATACCCGATAACGTCAGGAAGAAACCTCCCGCATCCAGGCTTCCGAAGGCTCCTGACCGAACCAGTTCTTTCTGCTTTGCTCGGCCCTTTAAAATTCTGCGTTCTTCCAATTCCTGAAATCCTAGCTTTCTGGAGATCTTGTTTATCTGTTGTTTCTTTCATAATCCCTGCAATCTGGCTTCCAGATCCACCACTTCATTCAAAACCAGGCTTGCCAAGGACCCTTATAACCTCTTGATTGCCAAATCCAATGCACTTCTTATTTGAGCCCACTCCCCTCTCCTGCAAACCCTCTTTTCTCCTGGCTTCTTCGCCTCTGCTCCTCCCCAGCTGCCGTTTCCCTGGAGTCTCCCCTGGGCCCTCTTCACTTCTCACTCTGTGTATTTTGCCTGGCCCGTCTCATCCACTCCAGGATCAACCCACAACTATCCCCAAATCTACATTGTTCATCCAAACAGTGGTCTACCTGCCTACTGGACCTCTCTACTTAGATGTCCCAAAGGTAGCTCAAACTCAAAATGCCCCAAACTAAACTTGACGTCTTGCCTCCTGCTTGCCTTCCATACCCGTTTGAAACGGGATCCTCTACTTTTATTCCTGACCTTGGTTACCCAAGCCAGAAATCTGGAGCTCATCCAAGCCTCTTCCCTTGCTCTATTCAGCCCTTTCCATCTGCCACCATTTCCCTAAACCCCCAGATTTGTCCCCATCTCCATCCTCATTGCCAGCTTTGGTTCAGGCCCTCCTGACTTGTTACCTGGATTCTGGCTTCCTAACCAATCTCTGTGCCTTCAGCCTTGCCCCCATGGTGCTTCCCATTTGTCAGCTTGAAAACCTTCAATGCGGCTGGGCGCAGTGGCTCACGCCTGTAATCCTAGCACTTTGGGAGACCGAGGCAGTGGGAGACTGAGGCAGGTGGATCACCCTGAAGCCAGCAGTTCAAGACCAGCCCAACCAACATGGTGAAACCCCGTCTCTACTAAAAATACAAAAATTAGCCAGGCATGGTGGCGCACACCTGTAACCCCAGCTACTTGGGAGCCTGAGGCAGGAGAATCACTTGAACTTGGGGAGTGGAGGTTGCAGTGAACTGAGATCATGCCACTGCACTCTAGCATGGGTGACAGAATGAGACCCTGTCTCAAAACAAACAAACAAACAAAACAAAAGCTTCAACGTTGCCCAATTACTCAGCCTCAGGCATGGCTTAAAGGCCTTCATGATGTACCCCTGTCCACCTGTTCCATCTCCTCCCCCACGCCTGTGTCATCACATGCTCCCCAGTGCCGTATGGTAAATCACAGTGCCCACAGCTCCTCACGCTGGCAGCACTTCCTCACCCCTGTGCCACTGCACCTGCTGTTTCCTTTTTCTAGAATACTCCTTGATCTCCTTCTGCTAAGCTCATCCCTATTCCTCCTGCAACACCCAGCTCAGAAGTGACTTCCAGGAAGCCTTCCAAATGTCCCCTCACTGGCAAAGGTGAGGCTCTTCCAGGCTGCCATTAGCATTCTCTGTAACATTTCTCCAGCTGCATTTTAGCTGCCTGTTTACCAGTCCACTGTTCCTAAGAGACTATAAGCCACTTGAAAAAGGAATTGTTTATTCATCTTGAATTCCTAGTGCCAGGTACAGGGTCTGGGACATACAAAATGCCTGATAAATGTTTGTTGAATGAATGAGTTAATTAACATGATGAATGAGAAAATAATCAACTTTGTCTTTTAGCATTTGGATCCCCTGGTTTTTGTCCATGCTGCTGGGTTTCTGAAGCACAGCCCTCCCTAAACCTTGTTTGTGCCTACATCAGAACTTCTGAACTTATCCCTTGTTGATGAGCGGATGGCCTCAACTACATCTTCAACGTCAGCGTATTTCTGGTTCTCCTGGCCTTACCTTTCACCCCATTGCTCCACCCCACTTCCCATGATCCTGGCACTGACAACAAGACTGCTGTGGTGATGACGTAAATTAATGGTTTGATTCAATGCAGCAACTAGCAAGGATGTGAAAGTAAAAGATTTTGATCTGAAAAACATTGCTTCAAGGTTGATTTTATGAGTATTCAAAGTCATATTTAATTTCCAGGCAATGGCAATTTTTATAACCTGAATCCACCAGTACCCATCAACTGTGGACAGGCCCACCCTTTATAACTGATTACAGGTTCTCCTCTTGAAACTCCCATGGTGTCAGATTAATTATGAGTAACTGGCAAGGAGTAACAGCCATAAGTAATAGATCCCCTGAGAAGGAAAGAGGGCTAAATAGAGAGAGAAACAGAATGCTAAGCTCTTTTAGCCCCCATAAACAAAGATGGTTTAATCTTTAGCAAAACATTTCCACTCCTGCCACTGTAGAGAAAACATGGCACTATAAAGTTATTTGTCTTTATCCAAGCCAAATTCTCTAATCAAGATTTTAAAAACAGGATAAAATTCATTACCAGCTTCTTGTCTTGCAAATGATAAGGAGACTCCTGTTTTATTCTTTTGGAAAATTCTTGTACCTGCAGTGAAAAAATTACAGTCTCTCATTAATGGCATGGTGTCTCATATATGAATTTGGTTACTGATATTGTTTATAACAAGCTTTAAAAGTATTACTTTAGTCTTCAGTTGATCAGTCTGTTCTTTTAACTTCTGACACATCTGTTTCCCTTGGGATATCTTCTGAAATATGTAAGAAGAGCTTGAGGAAGTTCCTTTCTGAGAGGTTGGTGACAACTTAGAGAGACTTGCCTCAGATTCTATTCCTATACAAGAAAGAATACATTTGGGCTACCATTCATCTCAGCTTATCACAGTTTTATTAAGTACTGAAAACAGAAAGTTGTTGCAGTCACCACAACTTACTATTTAAAAAAAATTTTTTTTTCAAAATATATATCTAAGCCAGGCACAGTGGCTCACACCTGTAATCCCAGCACTTTGGGAGGCCAAGGCAGGGGGATCACTTGAAGCCAGGAGTTCAAGACCACCCTCGGCAACAAAGTGAGACCCCAACTCTACAAAAAAAAAAAAATTATCTCGGTGTGGTGGCATGCACCTGTAATCCCAGCTACTCGGGAGGATGAGGTGGGAGGATCATTTGAGCCCAAGAGGTCGAGGCTGCAGTGAGCCAAGATTGTGCCGCTGTACTCCAGCCTGGGCGACAGAGTGAGACCCTGTCTCAAAAAGACAAAAACAAAACACACAAAATACATATATACATATGTATACATATGTGTGTATATATGTGTATACATATGTGTGTATATATGTATACATATGTGTGTATATATGTATACATATGTGTTTGTATATATATGTATATATGTGTGTATATATATACACAGATATATATATATATATCTGTCTCTCTCAAAGAAGTTTTAAAACATTAGTACCTGTGAGAAGTTCTTGGTAGATATGTACTGTGGGCTCCATCTGCACAATTAAAGAGTAAGAAAACATTACTGTCGATATTGATCAATGACACCACTATTCAGAATGACCCAACATGTTCTGTCATCGTAGAGGCAGCCCAGGTTTGTAGTGAAGAGCTGGGACCATGATGCCAAGGTTGAATTCCACTCTGACACTTACTTGCTGGGCAACCCAAGTAGTTGTCTCATCACTTATACGCCTGCAATTCCTTGGCAGGAAAATGGGGATATTAAGTGAACCTACCTCAGGTGGTTGTTATGAGGATGAAATGTTAAATATCTACCATAGTATCAGGCAGGTGGTAAGCATTTAACAATACATGTTATTTGTTATCACCATTGTGTTTGATACTAGTATGTGAAATGCTGAACTGTTTCTCCTAAAACTAGACCATAAGCTTCGTAAGGGTAGGGACCATTGCTAGTCTTGTCACCAGCTCTGTTGCTGGTGCTCTCACTAACACAAAACACATGGTAGCCACACTCTAGAGAATAACAGAGGATGTATTAAGTTCCAAACTGTGTGTCAAGACAGTGATGGTTTTCTGCCCACCACAGGCTAATTGAACAGTTTAAATTCCAGAGTGATTCACCTTGGGGGGTCTTCCCTTTGTTCCCAACAGATAAAGCTCAGAAATATGCTAGTGCCAGACAGTTGGTCAAAATAGACTATGGTCTTTCTAGATATCCCAACTGTGTGATGGATATGAAACCTGCAGGGTCCAATTCTCCAATCTGAATTGACAGGACTGGAAAAAATCAGATACCTGACCTTGAACCCGCATACCAGAGGGAGATGAGACTGATATCCATCTGCTCCTGCTGACCACAGGGCACTGAGAACTGGACACAACGAGGATGTTCTCCTGCAAGCAGAACAAGGAACCCCGACACTTCCCAATACCACGGGGGTGCAGGGTTCTGTCAGACTTAGAGAGCATCCCAGTCATGGCCAGGTGGGCTGTTGGCTCAGGTTTGGATGCTCAAACTCCCCAAAGCATTCAGCTGAAAGAGAGGGGAGCTGAAGCATGAAAATGGAAATGGAAATTTAAAAAAGAAAAGAGAAAAATTACTTCCAAGGTTAGGTTATAGAAAAAAAGAGAGAGAGAATGGAAATGGAAACAGGCAGTGTAGTTCAGTCCAGGACATTTTCATATAAGGCTCAAAAGACAGATCATGCACTGTAGGAAAAGTGCCAGAGAACTAAAATGTTTATTTTGATTGTTAATATGGATTTACCTTACTATTGGGCCTCAATAGTCAATGAGATCCTGAGCCTCAGCATGTTGGGAAGTTGATGGGGGAGTGTGAGAAGATGGGGTAAGGGAAAGGGGGAAATAGCATAAATTAAGCATTAACAAAGTTTTGTACCAAATGATTACCAAGATAACAAGCTTGAAATCCATTACTAACGATCTTAATTCCATTCAACTTAGCATTAAGAACTAAGGGCATAATGTACATAAGACACGAGGCCCGGCCTCTGGGGGAAGTTAGGCAATGGAAAGGCAAAGATAAGGTTGCTGCCCTCCAGAGCCTTAGAATCTAGTGAAGGAAGCAGATGCTTCTGCTATTATGATCCAAAGCAGGCAGGCTGAGATACACACTCTGATGGAAGGACTAAACAAACAAGTGTGGAAAAGATTGTGACTTGGGAGACCTGAAAAGTTATGTGGCCCAAGGGAGAATTGAAGGAGGCCATGAAAACAAGCAGGTCTTTGGTAAGTCAAGATGGGATGTGCCATGCAAGGCAGGAAGTCAGAGAGCTCAGGGCCTGGGAAGAGGTTCTGGACCAGCCAGGCAACTGCAGATGACTCCTGAAGGAGGGCAGCTAAGTTTAAGTGAGGAGAGCCAAATTCTGGCTTGCGGAATTTGGATTTTATTCTCTTATATGTGTTTGTCAGCATGGCCCCTGATGCTTCTCATGAGGACCCTGAGAGTCTGAGTGGCCACGTCACTCACCCACGGTGACCCAGGGTGCTGAATGAAACCTTGGAACCAGAACCAAGCTCTATTCACCCTCCAAAAACCCACACTGAAAGAGATGAGCAGTGATCCCAATTAATGTATTTACAGGAGACCATTTCATTTACCTGGATTTGTTGTGAAGGTTCAGTGATTTCCCCTTTCTGCTCTTGATGTTGTTTTTCAACACAGTTTGACTCAGGCATGGTTTCTAAAATATCTTGCACAACAGCGGGTTTCTCTCTCAACTTAGAAAAGCTGGCTTGTTTAGCTATTGCAAGTGGTTTATTAATTATGTGGTTTTTAGGATTTTTCACTTCGGGAGCAATCTTAGAGAAATCAGGGAGCTGGTAATGAACTTGACCTTGGCCATATTTGAACCTGTTGCCCGAACTTGCTTTTTCAGTCTGCTGTTTCTGGGGTGCTTGCCCTTGATAACTGTTTTGTTTATCACCTGTACCCTTGGTTTTAGTTAGAATATTTACATTTTCTTGATGGCTGCTATCTCCAGCAGCCACCGTCTCTTCTAAATCAGAGGTATTTTCTTCTGTCATGGTGGGAGAACCAGGTTTATTGCTGTTTTCACCATCCTTTTTGGGGTTGAGTTGGTCAGTGAGTTCTAGGGTTTGTTCTTTTGGCCAAGAATTCTTATTACAACATGAAATAATACTTTTAATAATAGCTTCCTCTTCAAAACTGTCGGCATTTGAGATCTCTGGGAGGGTTTCACAATCAATGCCTTGACCTCGTAAGAATGGCTCTTTGGAAAGATGATGAAGTAAAATATCAGAAATGCTTGACTTAGAAGCATCTCCTTCATTTGCTGGAATAGGAAGAGCTGCAGTGCATTGTTTCTCTTTCTCATCTTTTTTGTTGGCAGCATTTTCAGTAGTTTTACCCAGGGGCATGGTCATAGCTGTATTTCCACAAGTCTCATTATGCATAGCCTTCTCTTGAGGGTCATCTGCTATGAAAATAATTTGACTTGAGACTTCAAAGGCATCATTTTTTGAGGTAAAACTGTAATCATTGCATATCTTAATCGGAGAGAGGTCCCCATCATAAGGCAAATCCTCCTGCTTATAAGTCGTGTCTTCTGAAAAGTCAGCCTCATCCATGTGTGTGCAGCCCGATCTCTCTCGTCCTCTGCCGCCTGAGCTGGCTGCTGTCAATTGTAACAATAGCTCTGGTTCTCACTGACTGTCTTCACTGTGCGCTATTCTGTGTGAAATGAGAACAGCCTCATTGTTAAATATATTGGAATAATGTATACAACTATGCCAGAACAAAGTGGATGTTTTTTAATTAGAAAAACTCAGTTACAAACAGGAAGGCAGAAAGCTCAGCCACAAGCTGACCCATCCTCAATCCACACTATCTTAACACAATCAGTAGTATCAAAGCAAGGAATGGGGAAAAAAAAAAAAAAGGAGAGTGTTACATTTTTCATCTATTAAATTTTGAGAGAGACATGAGTCTACAGTTAATGGCCAAATATTTATCAACCTCAGTTAGGAGATACTATTTGGAGTTTATTCTCCCAAAGTAGGAACTTGGGATGCAAGTAAAGGATTGATTTTTTTTTTTTTTAACTACCAGAGCCACGCCTTGTCCACATGTCACTGACAGTCTTCTAAGCCGTATGGCGCTGGAAGCCGGCCTAGCTCACATGTAACACCCATCTTCTCCATTCTGGTGCTTTTTCACCTGTCCCTCCAGACCTTCTGGTCCCCTTCTGACTTTCCCTTGCATGTCTGAGAAGGGCAGAGAAGGACTTACAGAAATATGACCAAAGGGTCAGGCGTGGTGCCTCACACCTGTAATCCCAGCACTTTGGGAGGCCGAGGCAAGCGGATCACCTGAGGTCAGGAGTTCAAGACCAGCTTGGCCACCATGGTGAAACTCCGTCTGTACTAAAAATACAAAAAGTTAGTTGGGTGTAGTGGCGCACACCTGTAGTCCCAGCTACTCGGGAGGCTGAGGCAGGAGAATTGCTTGAATCTGAGAGGCAGAGGTTGCAGTGAGCCAAGATCAAGCCACTGCACTCCAGCCTGGGTGACAGAGAGAGACTCTGTCTCAAAAAAAAGAAAAAAAAAAAAAAAAAGAAATGTGACCAAGGGACAAATAGGCTTTCAGACACCTGGAGGCCAGTCTGCAGCCAAATGTCCCTTTTCTAATTTGGACTCAGGCAGGAACCTAGTCAGAGAGGCTGCCTTCCCTGAACCACTGCCAGCCACCACAGCCCACGCGGCAGTCTGGTGGTACCAGAGTCTTTGGGGATATTCCTGAAAATGGCTGGAGTAAAACCAGCTGCCATTTGGCATGAGTTCTATTTTCTCTTCTTTAAACAAAATTCAAAGCACCCATTCAGATATCTCTTCCTGATTTGTGAACTTTTGGGATGATTCCTCAGAAATAGTAAAATTATCTCAAGTTTTAGGTGGAGTAACTGAGGTTCCCTCTCCCCTGGGGCACCAGCCCGGGGTGGCCACAGCCGCTGGCAGCCTCCCTTGCCCATACAATGATTAGGTTGGGTGAGCAGATCTCTGAGGTTCTCTCTCCAACCAAATTTTTAGGAGTCTATAAACTGGTGATTTATTAGGTAACCTCAAAAGCTAAAATCATATGTTTGACCAAAATAAATGTTTTTTGAACTAAGTCGTCCAAGAAAAAAAGGAGTACAAACTAAATGTGGTAGAAACATCTGCGAGACATTGTACAAAAATCTTAATTTATAGACACATGCCAATGTTAGAGAATCCAAATTAAACAGATGCTCTGTTTAGACAGGTGGAGAGAAAGGAGAATATCACTGCAGGATTATTTAAAATCATTTAAAGAGGGTAATATTTAGTATAAAGTGAGGCACATCTTCGTGAAAAGAATTACAGGCTACTCTAACCCAAGTTGAAGAACAAGGGAAAAGGCTTCCCAAGAAAGTGAAAGGCACAGTGGGAAAGCAGAAGCAGAGAGGCATGGATGTGAATTCTCTGGCTTCTCTACTTTCTAGCTGTGTGTCATCTGGCAAGTTATTTAACTCTTGTGAGTCTCGGTTGGTTGCCTTTTCTGAGAAATAGGACCAGCAATACCTGAGATAAGGCACGTAAAGTACTCGGCATAGGGCTTGGCACAGAGTGAGAATTCCATACATTGTTGTTGAAAAATGAAAACACAAAACCAGTCTCAGTATTGGAATACTGAAGAATGCCCAGGTCCAGGGGTGAGGCACTCCTTATCTGTGGGGATATTTAAAGGATAAAGGAAGGAATTGCATATGTAAAACATAATCTCGGCCAAGAAAGGTGGCTCATGCCTGTAATCCCAGCACTTTGGATGGCCGAGGCAGGTGGATCACAAGGTCAAGAGATCAAGACCATCCTGGCCAACATGGCGAAACCCTGTCTCTACTAAAAATACAAAAAATTAGCTGGGCGTGGTGGTGCACCCTGTAGTCCCAGATACTCAGGCTGAGGCAGGAGAATCACTTGAACCCAGGAGGTGGAGTTTGCAGTGAACCAAGATCACACCACTGTACTCCAGCCTGGTGACAGAGTGAGACTCCATCTCAAAAAAAAAGACATAGTCTCTACAAGAACGTTAAGACAATTTTAAAACTCAACCTGTAAATAAATATATTTGAAGGTAAAAAAAAAAATCAGGCCGGGTGAGGTGGCTCACGCCTGTAATCTCAGCACTTTGGGAGGCCGAGGCAGGTGGATCACTTGAGCTCAGTAGTTCGAGACCAGCCTGGTCAATGTGGCGAAACTCGTTTCTACTAAAAATACAAAAATTAGTCAGGCATGGTGGTGCACCCCTATAGTCCCAGCTACTCAGGAGGCTGAGGCAGGAGAATCACTTGAACCCGGCAGGCAGAGGTTGCAGTGAGCCGAGATCATGCCACTGCACTCCAGCCTGCGTGACAGCAAGACTCTGTCTCAAAAATATTAAAATAATAATAATAATAATAAATCACTAAGCAATTTTAAACAAAATTTTGTCTAATTTTTTAGAACAAAAAAAAAAAACAAAGGGAGTATCTTTTTCTTTTTTTGAGACAAGGTCTCACTCTATCACCCAGGCTGGAGTGCAGTGACACCACCATCGCTCACTGTAGCCTCAACCTCCCAGGCTCAATTGATCTTCCTCCCTTAGCCTCCTGAGTAGCTGGGACTACAGGCACACACCACCACACCTGATTAATTTTTAAATTTTTTTTGTAGAGATGGAGTTTCACCATGTTGTTCAGGATGGTCTTGAACTCTTGGGCTCAAGTAATCCACCTGCCTCAGCCTCCCAAAGTGCTGGGATTACAGGCACAAGCCACTGTGCCCAGCCTGAGAGTATGTTTAAATGCCTACAGAGAGAATGGAGGAAGAAAACAAATTCTAGTTTTGCAATACTTTTTTTTTTTTTTTTTTTTTTTTTTTTTGTCTGAGTAGTGATCTGCTATGAACCACTCCCCCCCCCCTCACCCAAGTACTAGACGGATGCCAGAATTTAATGACCTTCAGTTTTGCAATACTTTTAATGACCCAAGCAACAGCCCCAAAGTTATCCTCATGCTTTCTTTACATTTTCAGGAGCTCATTGCCAAACTCCATAGCCTTCTTGTATAGAAAGGAAAGACACTTTGTTGGCCAAATTCCCACTTTTAAAGTATAATTCCATTAAAACTGATACAATTTGAATTTTGCTCTGGCTCTTAAGAAAAAGAAAAAAGAAGGCCAGGTCCAGTGGCTCATGCCTGTAGTCTCAGCACTTTGGGAGGCCAAAACAGAAGGATTGCTTGAGGACAGGAGTTTGAGAACAGCTTGGGCAACAAAGCAAGACCCTGTCTCTACAAAAAAAAAAAAAATTAAAAATTAGCCAGGAGTGGTGGTACGTGCCTGTAGTCCCAGCAACTTGGGAGGCTGAGATGGAGGATCAATTGAGCCCAGGAGGTCAAGGCTGCAGTGAGCAGAGATCACACCACTGCACTCCAGCCTGGGTGACAGAGCAAGACCCTGTCTCTCTGTCTCTGTCTGTCTGTCTGTCTGTCTGTCTCTCTCTCTCTCTCTCTGTCTCACACACACACACACACACGCACAGAGAGAGAGAGAGAAAGGAAAAGAAAGAGTGAGATACCATCAAGATAAACCAGAAGCCTGAGGAACACTCTCGTTACATACAGGAAAACAGCTTCTGTTGTTGTTATTATTTGTGTGTGTGCATGCAAAATATCAAGAGGATTTTTCTGGAAAAGGACAGTCCATACCCTTAGCATTGTAATGAGCTTGTTTCAGATAGCTTGAGGAACTGGAGCATCTTCCCATGTCAACACTTGAAATCCAAAGGCACACCCAAAGAGGTTCCGGTCAGAATCCAACAGAACCTTTCTGTAGAATCCAATTTGATTTTCTGAAGTCAGGTGACTACATTTGGGGCCACGCCTGCTTATGCAGCTATCCTGGCCATTATGTGCTCAGCAATACCTCACAAGTCACTGAGATGAACACTTTGAGCAAACAGGGCCAGGACATCATAGTGACCCAGGCTGTGAAAACACTTCAGGCCAGTCCCTGAGTAGGAATGAACAACAAGGTAGTCACCATGCTGACAGCTATTCCCTGTGTGATTTACTTTATCATGAAGTCTAAATTTGATGCTGAAGTGCTAGCCTAAGCTCACTAACATGCCAACTTAGAGAAGAAGGTAATCATGGCTAGGATGACTGGGAATCTGATGGACTCAATTAAGAATTTCTACAGATGGGAAAACCAAACTCCTTACTGGCAAGAGGCCAAAGGTGGTCTGCAAATTGTTGTTTCTGGCTGGTAGGTGACAATTCTTCTATTTACTAAGCCCATTTTGTGATAACACAGTTTTCCATATTGACAGGATTGTTTTAATCACCAAAGGAAAACCGTGGGGCCATGTTCCTGTGACAATCTCTTTATCTCATTCCCAACACCCTCTGTTCTGTGTTTAAACCTCTACAAACCAGGCAAACTGGGGACGATGTGTAGGACCCAGACATGGAGGAGAAAGCAGGCATTGTTTCTACTCACCCTGCTCTGCCCCTCCACTAAAGTACCAGTTAGCACAGCCACATAACACTCACAAGTCCTACACTTCTAAGAGCAGCCCTACTGACTTTGTCATGGTAAGAGTTGGCTGTTGGAGGCAATGATTCAACAACCTGAATTCTGATTATTCCTTTTTGTATCTGTCATTTAGAATGTGAATAGTGTACAGCTAAAAGCTTTAAGTACATTATCCATCAATAATTTGTGCTGCACAAAGCAATATGCTGCTCTGTCTTCAAACAACACAATGCTACAGTCAACAGAAAGAGGCAAAACCATTGGGCAATTGCAATAGAAACTCACCAACAACTTGGAGGCTCTGGATATCACAGGGTGAACAAGTTGAATGGCCTTGCGACACAGACAAGCAATCCTTTAACTCTAAATCGTCTTTTTTTCAACAGTTGGAAGTTGACTGCAGTTGAATAATAGAACAAAAATGGAGCTTCAAAATCATGGCGTGCCTGCTTCTTCTGGGTTCTTTTAACTGCAAGAAATCAGCTTTGAAGACCACATAGGGAACTTCTGATGTGATACAAACTTTTGTCTTTTTTTTTTTGTCTTTTAAGAGCATTCAAAAACACTTGGTCTGGCTGTTTCAATTTTCTCTTTCTCTCCTTCTATTCCTAGCTCAAGAATTATATTTACATATGAAAGAAAATAGGAGATGGCTCAGAATAATATGTCCAAAGCCACGCCCAGGGGTCAGGGATTCATGAATTTTGTATCCAGTGTATGGTGTTTCTAGATTAAAATATTTTCAAAGGTAAGGTGATATAGGCTCCTTCTGTAATGACTGCATTTGATTACGCTCTGGTAATTCTATCAGCTAACTTTATCTCAGAAATGTGGGGTACCCACAATGCAGTGCCTCAGCTGTAACCATATACCATTCAGTGAGGCCGTCTGGCTTCACCCTGTCATTGTGGGTGGCAGAAGGGAGACACTGTGATGGGCAACAAGTCAATCCAATACTCCTACAAGAGCCAGATGGATGTATTATTTATAGTCAGTTTCAGTGACGTCATCCTTTTGGGAGTGAGCATGAGTTTGATGACCAGCTGTTACAAATTTGTTATCCCGAAACGATTTTAGAAGGTGGGGGGAAGGGAGAAAAGCCTTTTAAAAGTATGAGTAAAGCAATATTTGGAGAAACTTCCTGCCCGTGTTTTACCAGAAAACTTTACTGGTTTTCCTCGGGCTTTGATGAGGTTAGCACTGTCTTTTTATCCAATTTTGCCATTGACGTAGCCTAGTTTGTGCTATAAACCACGGACCTTTGCTGTGCTTTGGAAACATTTAGAAAACTCTTACCAATTGATTTGCTGAAAATAATTCCAGTGATAAACTTCAAAACACACTGATTTAAAGAAGTATAATTTCTTTTTCTTTTTCTTTTTTTGAGACGGAGTCTCACTCTGTCGCCAGGCTGGAATACAGTGGCGCAACCTGGGCTCACTGCAACCTCCGCCTCCCGGGTTCAAGTGATTCTCCTGCCTCAGCCTCCCAAGTAGCTAGAACTACAGGCACGCGCCACCAAGCCCAGCTAATTTTTATATTTTTAGTAGAGACAGGGTTTCGCCATGTTGGCCAGGATGGTCTTGATCTCTTGACCTCATAACCTGCCTGCCTTGGCCTCCCAAAGTGCTGGCATTACAGGCGTGAGCCACCATGCCCAGCCAAAGAAGTATAATTTTTAAATTTTATTTATTTATTTATTTTTTAAAGATAGAGTCTTGTTGTGTCACCCAGGCTGGAGTGCAGTGGCATGATTATGGCTCACTGCAGTCTCTACCTCCTGGGCTCAAGCAATCCTCCCGTCTCAGCCTCCTGAGTAGCTGGGACCACAGGCACATACCACTACACCTGGCTAAATTTTTTTTTTTTTTTGGTAGAGACAGGGTCATGCTATGTTGCCCAGGCTCATCTTAAACTACTGGGTTCAAGCGATCCTCCTCCTCGGCCTCCCAAAGTGATGTGATTACAGGCATGAGCCACCATACCCAGCCTCGAATAAGTATAATTTGTTTTTCATCTTGTCCCTGAAACTTCTCTGCCCTTCCCTAAACTTTCAAACTTAAGTTTTGCAACCTCTGCCTGGAGATAAGAACAGCCAGAATATTTTATGAAAACCCTTCCTCCCTTAACCAAAGACTTATGCTTCTCTCCTCTGCCCTCCTCCCCCTGCCTAAAGGAAGAACACTGACTTGTAATTATATATTTTTTTAAATAATGAATACAAGGTTAAATATATTGCACATGATACCTAATCTATGCTCCTCAAAATGATTTCGAAAAGTTATGATTTGGATTAAGTTTATTTTTATATTAGAAGAAATATCTATAGGATGAATCTCAAAACCTGTGGTAGGATTACAGGTAACTTTTATTTTCTCATTAGAACTGTTCCTTCATTTATTAAACAAATATTTATTGAGTGTACCTGTTGGGCATACAGTACCACACTAGGTCCTGGAATCAAAAGGAAATGTAGAGAACAGTTAGGTGTGTGGACTTCGGTGCCAGAGTGAGTTTGTAGTTAGGCTCTGCTACTCATTAGTTGTGCTATCTTAGAGAAGTTACTTCTCTATTCCTTAGTTCGTTCATCTGTAAAATGGGGGTATTAATAGCACTACCACATAGGGTTGTTGTGAAGAGTATGTGAGTTGCTGTTTAAAGCAACATTTACATAGCACAATGCACCTGATGCTATTCTAATCACTTTCCAAATATTCATTAACTGAGTGCAAAGGATTTAGCACATTGTATATTATTATAAATGGTGATAAGTGCTATGAATGATAGGAAGAGACTTCTGGAAGAAAGAATATAAGAAAGAATATAAACCTTTCTTGAGAACGGATAGGCAGGGAAGGGCTCTCCAAGGCCATGCATTTCAAGCTGGAGCCTGAAGGACACAAACCAACCACGCAGAGAGTTGGGGCAGAGCGTTCTGGGCTGAGGGGACATGTGTGCAAAGACCTGAGGATGGAAAATAACATTGTTTATTGGGAAAGCTGAAAGGAACTAGCATGGTGGTGGCAGAGATGAAATAAGTTGATGTGTTCAAGACATAAGACATTTTTGAGTAACAGTCAACAAAACCTGGCAATGTGCTTGTGAAGGCAGGGGAGAATTTAATCAGGACCCCTTGTCATGCTTTCTTGTATTTTTTCCAAGTATTTTAGAATAAAGATCACTCAAATCAATTAAAAAAAAAAGACCCCAAAGAACAAAGGACATGAATTAAGAGAAAAAAGATATACAAATATACATGGTGCTTAAACATATGAAAAGATGATTACCTTTGTTAGAGCATGTTCTATGTTTTAAACATATTTGTAGGCCGGGTGTGGTGGCTCATGCCTATAATCCCAGCACTTTGGGAGGCTAAGGTGGGTGGATCCTTTGAGGCCAGGAGTTCAAGACCAGCCTGGCCAACATGATGAGACCCCCGTCTCTACTAAAAGTGCAAAAAAAACTAGCTGGGCATGGTGACATGTGCCTGTAATCCCAACTATTTGGGAGGCTAAGGCACAAGAATCACTTAAACCTATGTATTTATTTATTTATTTTTGAGACAGAGTCTTCCTCTGTCACCCAGGCTGGAGTACAGTGCCATCATTGTAGCTCACTGCAGCTTCAACCTCCAGTGCTCAAGTGATCCTCCTGTCTCAACCTCCCAAATAGCTGGGACTACAGGTTCCTGCCACAGCACCCAGCTAATTTTTTTTTAATTTTTTGGAGAGGCGGGGTCTCACTTTGTTTGCCAAGCTGGCCTTGACCTCCTGCGCTCAAGCAATCCTCCTGCCTCGGCCTCCCAAAGTGCTGGAATTACAGGCGTGAGCCACTGCACCCAGCCTATGCCTACTTTAGCTTTAATGCATGCATAAGGTTTAGAACAGTGCGTGACACATAATGTCTTGATACATGCTAGCTTTAAAAACTTTTTAACCATTATGTAAAATACCTCTCTCAGTATTTCACAGTTTTAGCTTTTTTGTATGGTTTTATATGAGATAAGAATTTGAAATGTAAATCTGTTATAAGTTGTGCCATGGTAGAAAAACAATAGCTATCAATACTTCCCTAACCCCTTTCTTGTAAAAAGCACAAAGCTCTTTGCATAGTCATAAGTTAGAGCCCCCAACACGATTATGAAGTAAATATTACCTGATCCAATGCTGCAATGCTAATTTTTACTAGAGAGTATTACATGACAACCATATGAAAGGTAAATAATCAAGGTTTAGCCTTTTATGATAGGCTTGTGTAGGCTTCATAAGCGTTAATTAACTAAAACTCACAACACTTAGGTGAGGTATTTCTTTACCCTCTCAAGCAGTGTCATTATCTCAGAGAAGGAAACTAGGTACAAGGTTAAACAACTTAGGACAGGAAACAATTATCTGCTCAAAAATAACAGCACTTTGCCTCTAAATAACACTTTTCGACCAACAGTATCCAGTCACATTGCAAACTCTAATTAAACACTCTCAGGGACTTAAGTATCTCTAACCTTGTGGAACAGATTGAAGGAGAGGAGGCAGTTTAGCTAAAATTATACAGCAGGCCACTAGCAGCCAGGATTTAATCCCTTGGAATCAGGTGTGAGGTGGGATTAAAAGCCGACTGTGTGGTAGGTGCTTTGTGTATATCTCTTCAGTCCTTTCCACAGCCCCCAAAGTAAGTATCATTGCTTCTTTAAGATGAGGACTGAGGACACGGTGGCTCATGCCTGTGATTCTAGCTCTTTGGGAGGACAAGGCGGGCAGATCACTTAAGGACAAAAGTTTGAGACCAGCCTGGCCAACGTGGTGAAACCCTGTCTCTACTAAAAATACAAAAAAAAAAAAAAAAAAATTAAGCTGGACATGGGGCATGGTGGCGTGCAGCTGTGGTCCTAGCTGCTCGGGAGGCTGAGGCACAAGAATCACTCGAGCCTAGGAGGCAGCGGTTGCAGTGAGCTGAGAGCGTGCCACTGCACTCCAGCCTGGGTGACAGAGTGAGACCCGGACTCAAAAAAAAAAAAAAAAAAAGATAACTGAGCTCAGAGGAACAGAGCTAGGATAGGTCATCCAAAGCCAACGTGCTTCTACTCCTGTAAGACCACGTGTCACAAACAGGAAGAAGAAATAGAAGCAGTCAGACTCATCAGTGTTGTTGTTGTTGTTTTAATAAGATTGGTTATTGTTTTAGTTTCATATTGCTTCTATAACAAATTGTTAAGGAACAAAATTTCAACAAATTGATTTCAAAGATCTTATTGGCTTTTATTGGCACTTCATGAATTAGACAGCATCCCATCTGTGAAATAGAAAGTCTCTTCAATGAGCTAAGCAGAGAGGCTGGGCTTTACAGGCAGAAAAGGCTAAAGTAAGCAGAAATAAGGAACAAGGACCCATAAGCAGATTGATTGTTTCAAAGTGACTTCAAGCAGAGGGGATTTCCTTATCATGCCTGATCAAGTTGACTGGGCCCCATTAGGTTGGTTGCTATGAATTTCCTGTTGTTTTGGGAAACTGACCCATTTCTTTTTTTCTTTTTTTTTTTTTATGAGATGGAGTCTCGCTCTGCCACCCAGGCTGGAGTGCAGTGGCGCGATCTCAGCTCACTGCAAGCTCCACCTCCTGGGTTCACGCCATTCTCCTGCCTCAGCCTCCCGAGTAGCTGGGACTACAGGCACCCGCCACCTCGCCCGGCTAGTTTTTGTATTTTTTTAGTAGAGACGGGGTTTCACCGTGTTAGCCAGGATGGTCTCGATCTCCTG